AGAAGGACTGTTTGTCTGGTTTGAAGTATTTGTTTTCCGGCTCATAGTATGTGTGTAGAGAAAATGCGCGGGCGTCAATTGTGTTTTGTAGGTTAGTCTAAAAAAGTGTTTAATTTTTAGTTTGTTTCTTCGTTTGTTTCTAAAAACATGTGAATTCGTCATCTTTAGTCATATTCAAATACGATGGCGAATAATAAATGCCTACAGCTTTCTAACTCTGCAAAACAAGTTGTATCATTACTTCGTATAAACAGTTAACTTACCTGCTCATATTGACCAAAGACGAGCCGCTCTTCAACCAGATGGCATTGTACCTCTGATGAAGACTATAAATTGTGAGAGAAATAATGTCAATCCCTGTGTGGTTAGCAGCAGTGCTGGGAAAGTGGCGCTCGGGGAGGAGCCCCTTCTACCTTTGAAATGGGTAATTTTTCATAATTTCATGACTTCAGCTTCGTCAAGAGAGCCCCCATCTGATAAATTTAGTTCTACAGCACTGGTTAATAGTATCTGCGTTTCAGCCAAAATTTCTAGAACTTTTTAAATCAAAGCTAAGAAAGTAAAGTAACACTTCTAACATGGTGCTTTCCTCTAAGACGTTAGACATTTTTTGAATAAATAAAGAGCTATGATTTTTTTGGTTAATCAAATATTGAACTTCAATCAACAACTTTTTTTGTAAAGTTTACTTTGAACAAAATTTACGTTTTCTCTTTGCCATACCTTGGAGTTGGGATTTTTGTTCACAAAGCATAAAGAACAACCTGAACATTGCTCGTTCTCTTGCGGAATCTGGTTGTCGTTGTATTCTTCTTGCTGTAAAATTTTTTTTTACACATTATAACATTTACTATACTTGCATCAAGATGAGGCTAATGAAGGATTTGTGAAGTTCACAGCTTGCGTACTACAAAATATCAAGTTCGTAGCGAGAGCAAAATCTCAGTTACGGCTCTTACGTAAAAATCTTTCACGCTCATTCATCCAAACTATTCATAAACACATTTATCAAATTATGTTTCTATCTTAAGATTCCAACTTACGTTTTGGCAAACTGAATTATACCATTGACTAAGCAACAGCTGCTGTTCAATATTGGTACTGTGCCATTGATTGGGGAGATGTTGATGACCATTGCCATTTTCCCGTTCGCTGGGAATTTCATGTTGATGAGCATGGACATTTTCTTGTTGGTTGGGAATTTCATGTTGATGAGCATGGACATCCTCCCGGATTCTAGCCCTCTTAGCTCGAACAACATCAATTCTTCGTTTAAGGTGTGCTTCGGACGTTTGTAATTGCTCCAACTCTTGCTGCAATCTTTGTATCTTTGTTTCCATCTTTGTCTTCTTTATCACAATTTCCATATTGTCATCCTCCCGTTCGTTGGGAATTTCATGTTGATGAGCATTGTCATTTTCCCGCTGGTTGGGAATTTCATGTTGATGAGCATTGTCATTTTCCTGTTGGTTGGGAATTTCATGTTGATGAGCATTGTCATCCTCGCGTTGGTTGGGAATTTCATGTTGATGAGCATGGACATTTTCTTGTTGGTTGGAAATTTCATGTTGATGAGCATTGTCATGTTCCCGTTGGTTGGGAATTTCCTGTTGATGAGCATTGTCATTTTCCTGTTGGTTGGGAATTTCATGTTGATGAGCATTGTCATCCTCGCGTTGGTTGGGAATTTCATGTTGATGAGCATGGACATTTTCTTGTTGGTTGGAAATTTCATGTTGATGAGCATTGTCATGTTCCCGTTGGTTGGGAATTTCATGTTGATGAGCATTGTCATGTTCCGTTGGTTGGGAATTTCATGTTGATGAGCATTGTCATCCTCCCGTTGGTTGGGAATTTCCTGTTGATGAGCATTGTCATTTTCCTGTTGGTTGGGAATTTCATGTTGATGAGCATGGACATTTTCCTGTTGGTTGGGAATTTCATGTTGATGAGCATTGTCATCCTCCCGTTGGTTGGGAATTTCCTGTTGATGAGCATTGTCATTTTCCTGTTGGTTGGGAATTTCATGTTGATGAGCATGGACATTTTCTTGTTGGTTGGGAATTTCCTGTTGATGAGCATTGTCATCCTCCCGTTCGTTGGGAATTTCATATTGATGAGCATTGTCATCCTCCCGTTGGTTGGGAATTTCATGTTGATGAGCATTGTCATCCTCGCGTTGGTTGGGAATTTCCTGTTGATGAGCATGGACATTTTCTTGTTGAGTGGGAATTTTCTGTTGATGAGCATTGTCATCCTCCCGTTGGTTGGGAATTTCATGTTGATGAGCATTGTCATTTTCGTGTTGGTTGGGAATTTCATGTTGATGAGCATGGACATTTTCTTGTTGATTGGGAATTTCCTGTTGATGAGCATGGACATTTTCTTGTTGGACATTTTCTTGATGAGCATTGTCATCCTCCCGTTGGTTGGGAATTTCATATTGATGAGCATGGACATTTTCTTGTTGGTTGGGAATTTCCTGTTGATGAGCATTGTCATCCTCCCGTTGGTTGGGAATTTCATATTGATGAGCATGGACATTTTCTTGTTGGACATTTTCTTGATGAGCATTGTCATCCTCCCGTTGGTTGGGAATTTCATGTTGATGAGCATTGTCATCCTCGCGTTGGTTGGGAATTTCATGTTGATGAGCATGGACATTTTCTTGTTGGTTGGGAATTTCCTGTTGATGAGCATTGTCATCCTCCCGTTGGTTGGGAATTTCCTGTTGATGAGCATGGACATTTTCTTGTTGGTTGGGAATTTCATGTTGATGAGCATTGTCATCCTCCCGTTGGTTGGGAATTTCATGTTGATGAGCATTGTCATTTTCCTGTTGGTTGGGAATTTCATGTTGATGAGCATTGTCATTTTCCTGTTGGTTGGGAATTTCATGTTGATGAGCATTGTCATCCTCCCGTTGGTTGGGAATTTCATGTTGATGAGCATTGTCATTTTCCTGTTGGTTGGGAATTTCATGTTGATGAGCATTGTCATTTTCCTGTTGGTTGGGAATTTCATGTTGATGAGCATTGTCATTTTCCTGTTGGTTGGGAATTTCATGTTGATGAGCATTGTCATTTTCCTGTTGGTTGGGAATTTCATGTTGATGAGCATTGTCATCCTCCCGTTGGTTGGGAATTTCCTGTTGATGAGCATTGTCATTTTCCTGTTGGTTGGGAATTTCCTGTTGATGAGCATTGTCATCCTCCCGTTGGTTGGGAATTTCATGTTGATGAGCATTGTCATTTTCCTGTTGGTTGGGAATTTCCTGTTGATGAGCATTGTCATCCTCCCGTTGGTTGGGAATTTCCTGTTGATGAGCATTGTCATCCTCCCGTTGGTTGGGAATTTCATGTTGATGAGCATGGACATTGTGCCATTTATTGGGAATTTCATGTTGATGAGCATGGACATTGTGCCATTGGTTGGGAATTTCATGTTGATGAGCATGGACATTGTGCCATTGATTGGGAATTTCATGTTGATGAGCATGGACATTGTGCCATTGATTGGGAATTTCATGTTGATGAGCATGGACATTGTGCCATTGATTGGGAATTTCATGTTGATGAGCATGGACATTGTGCCATTGATTGGGAATTTCATGTTGATGAGCATGGACATTGTGCCATTGATTGGGAATTTCATGTTGATGAGCATGGACATTGTGCCATTGATTGGGAATTTCATGTTGATGAGCATGGACATTGTGCCATTGATTGGGAATTTCATGTTGATGAGCATGGACATTGTGCCATTGATTGGGAATTTCCTGTTGATGAGCATGGACATTGTGCCATTGATTGGGAATTTCATGTTGATGAGCATGGACATTGTGCCATTGATTGGGAATTTCCTGTTGATGAGCATGGACATTGTGCCATTGATTGGGAATTTCCTGTTGATGAGCATGGACATTGTGCCATTGATTGGGAATTTCATGTTGATGAGCATGGACATTGTGCCATTGATTGGGAATTTCATGTTGATGAGCATGGACATTGTGCCATTGATTGGGAATTTCCTGTTGATGAGCATGGACATTGTGCCATTGATTGGGAATTTCATGTTGATGAGCATGGACATTGTGCCATTGATTGGGAATTTCATGTTGATGAGCATGGACATTGTGCCATTGATTGGGAATCCCATGTTGGTGAGCATGGACAAAGTGCCATTGATTGGGAATTTCATGTTGATGAGCATGGACATTGTGCCATTGATTGGGAATTTCCTGTTGATGAGCATGGACATTGTGCCATTGATTGGGAATCCCATGTTGATGAGCATGGACATTGTGCCATTGATTGGGAATTTCCTGTTGATGAGCATGGACATTGTGCCATTGATTGGGAATCCCATGTTGATGAGCATGGACATTGTGCCATTGATTGGGAATTTCCTGTTGATGAGCATGGACATTGTGCCATTGATTGGGAATTTCATGTTGATGAGCATTGACAAATGTGCCATTGATTGGGAATTCCATGTTGATGAGCATGGACATTGTGCCATTGATTGGGAATCCCATGTTGATGAGCATGGACATTGTGCCATTGATTGGGAATTTCATGTTGATGAGCATTGACAAATCGCCAATGATTGGGAATTCCATGTTGATGAGCATGGACATTGTGCCATTGATTAGGAATCCCATGTTGATGAGCATGGACATTGTGCCATTGATTGGGAATTTCATGTTGATGAGCATTGACATTGTGCCATTGATTGGGAATTTCATGTTGATGAGCATGGACATTGTGCCATTGATTGGGAATTTCATGTTGATGAGCATGGACATTGTGCCATTGATTGGGAATATGATAGTGATCACCATTCCCATTAGACCATTCATTTGGAGCTTCCTGCTGTTCAACATTAGCAAACTAAAAATATTCAGAAAGCAGACATTTGAGGAAACGAATGAATAAACGTATTTATATCTCGTCGATTTTGAAATTAAAATTACTTTTCATCAACGGGATTGTGCCCCTGCTCATTCATATTTTGTTTGTCAACTTTGTCATCCTAAAATAATTGTAAAAAAGAGAAATGATAAAAAATCTTTCCTTTAATTCGTCCTTGTTAAGTTTTTCGATTCTACAATTTCAACTAACTTTATTCTTGGATGACAGCGGAGTATATCCTTGATCTTTTGTGGTTTCATCACCACAATTCGATTCCTAAAAACATTACTAGAATATGCATCTTGGCTTTATGATTACTTTGAAAGTTTCACGCAAGAAAATACGTGAACGTGAAAATGCCAGAAAATTATACAAATCCCAAACACCGTTGCGAGGAAATTCAAACGTACATCGTCATCAATGACATCTTTGACAACATCAGCCACAACGCTTGCTGCTTCTTTTGCAGCTTCTTCATCCTGTGACTCTGGCTGAAAAATATCATATGTCCGTGTAAAAGTCAAGAAAAAACGCATCATTCAACATTTTTATGCTTTATTTTGATGATATGAAAATATGTCTTTTTCTATAGAAAAAAAGCATATTTTCACCAGAGTTATATAACGGACGTATTTTGGCAAATAGAGACTTTTCAAAGATTTCGAGACTTACCTCTTTAAACAGACAATCCGATTGAGATGTATCTTCGGACGAGTCCTGCAAATAGCCATTAACGCATGATTTCGTAAATTCCTTTGTAATCTGCGCTATTCTATTTCAACTCACTTGATTTTGTCATCTGATTACCTTATTTCTAGCCTGATAAATTTCTGTTATGCTATACACGTTTTACAACTTGTGTCCTAACATGCTTTTTTTATCGTGCACCAGTCCTAATGCATGCTAGATCTCTCTCTTATATGATAAAGGTTATTTACCATGCACCCAAACAACGTTTTTTACTAAAGAATTGAGGATACACAGGCGTGGATATGCATTCAGAATGTTAAATTGTTGAAGAAAATATTTTGCAGTTGATTATACACTGTAAATAAACTTTGTTTTACTGTTTTACTTTGGTTTTTAGATAACTTTTGGTATTTTTGTAACTTACCGTATCATCTTCATCAAGATCATCGGACAATGTCCTTCATTCATATAACTCGGCTGAGGTAAAATAAGAATGGAACATGTTAGAGATATTCAGGAGGCTATTTTGTTTGAACAAACGTCAACAAATTGCAGCAAAAATGAAGCACAGATGAAATTACTCCACGTACCACATCAATCAGTTCAAACAAATCGTTTTTTCCAACGTAATTGTATTCCTGCAGTTTTTTGTAAATCTACAAACGGGAAAACCATAACATATTAACATTTCGCAAATGAACAACCCACTTGTTTTTGTGGATTGATCATTCGCGAAAAACAAACAATAAAATCGTATAGTTTATACCTGATACAACAGTGATATAAAATTCCTGGATCCCATTACTCCGACCAATGACTGCAAAGTAAATAAATTTCCAAATATAAACAATATCTTTTCAAGTATGTCTTCGTTATTATTGATCACGTGTTTTACACGATAGAAGAATCTCACCGTATCGGGATGAACATCGAGAAGGCCAATTTGTTTGGCTGTTCTCTGTGATAAAAGGTAACAAGTCAGTAAAACTACATACAATTTAGTGAATTTGAAAAACGCCATTTGCGAGTCTCGTCTTGAGAAGACTAAGATGACTAAGTGATATAAATTTTCTACTTACGACGATAGTCGGTTGATGCATCAGAACGTTTATCTTCAAGTACAGAACCTGGAGATATTAAAGAAAATTATGAATTACGTAATGTATACGTCACAGACTATATATATGAAGATGACGTATACATTCTTGATACAATGACCGCTGTCTAACTGTACAGGAGACAGTTGTATAAAGTCATGATAAGTCTTCAAGAAAATGAATTTTTCAGATTCGAATGTTTGTTCATTTTTTCTGATCAATTTCTAGATTAACTAACCCAACAAAAATCATGGGTTCCTTTAAAAAACGGCAATATTTGAAAAATATATAAATGCTGAAATTATTTTGTTTTTTACTTACAATGTTGAGATTATTAAATAATGTCTGGCTCATGTAGGCTGCTGTCAACGGCTGCGAAAATAAAATCATAAAGTTTTCACAAGCTCAATAAAATCCTTATTCGATCTCGCAAGTTGGAAATTGTTCACCGTTCTTGTAAACAAATATGACTTTACCTCCGAAGGATCTATAGACACACGTGGCTCAGATTTGTTCTTTTCCTTTTCCGAATGGCATGAATCGTCTTCAGAATCATCCGAAAGGTCGTCACGCTCCAATATTTCAATGTCTTCCAACTCATCTTCTTGGGAATCCTTTGTTCCCACGATGTCCTCATTGTCAATGTCATCTTCGTCCTTCATATTCTGAAGGATGTGATGTTCGTCATGCTTCTGCACTTCAATGTCATCCAACTCATCTTCTTGGGTATCCTTTGATCCCACGATGTCCTCATTGTCAATGTCATCTTCGTCTTCCATATTCTGAAGGACGTGATGTTCGTCATGCTCCTGCACTTCAATGTCGTCCAACTCATCTTCTTGGGTATCCTTTACTCCCACGATGTCATCATTGTCAATGTCATCTTCGTCCTTCATATTCTGAAAGATGTGATGTTCGTCATGCTCCTGCACTACAAAGTCATCCAACTCATCTTCTTGGGAATTCTGAGATTCCAAGATGTCGTCATTATCGACGTCATCTTCCTTGATGATCTGAAAAATGAAACGTCCATATTTACTTTAAGTTAAATTTTGAGCATTCCATGCGAACGGTGGACTTATTCAGATTGCAATATCTTTATTATAGTAACTTTTTTTAGTAATCATAGATATAAAGGCTTCTCTTATTCAGGGAAAGGTGCGGAAATTTTTGGATGCAAGGTGTCGAAATCCAGCTTTCAAAATTGTAACAAGATGCTCCGAATTTAAAGTTTGTCCTACCTACAGACATATTGCAGAAGCGAAGTTTTTCCAAAGTTTATATAACGCACGAAAAGAAACTGAAGGACGACTATAACCATATCGTCCTTCATTTTCTTTTCCTACCCTTGCATCTGAAATTTCACTGAAACATACTTGAATTAAAGGGATGATGAATGTGAAGCTATAGAGATGGTTAGGTTTTAAAGATATTTAAAGATGAGCATACGTGTTTTGATGACATGTCGACACAAGGCAATAAAGCCAAATGTTTCTGCTCTTGGACATCAAGTACCTATAAAAGTTAAAGTTACTTGAATAAACTAAATTCCACTTTACATTGGTTTAATGTGAAGACGAATAGAAAATATCTTTTTCGCAAATTATATAATTATCAACGAAAAAATTACTCACGCTCTTTGGAATGTTTTCAACATACAGATTATAAAGCAGCATTAGTTTCGTGTTGGAAACGAAGCTAATGCTGGTTTATAATCTGTATGTTGAAATTATCAATAAGTGTGATATTATCAATAAGTGTGATGGTAAAAAGCAAATAGTCTTTATGTAAAGATGATTATCGTATTTTAAAGATCTTTTAATAATCGATGAAATTACAAGTTTTGATGTCATATCAAAGTATGGTATTATAGATAACTCATTCTGCTTTGGCGACATACTACAAATTAATATTTAGTGATTTATCAACTGAAAGATAACATTTGTTATGTATAACTTATATTAAATTGAACTTACGCTCTTTTCCATCTTGATAACATACGGAATATAAGCAAGCACCAGTTTTCTTTCAAACATTGGCATCTAAATTTGTTATTTAAAGAGATATTGTAATATAGTGATGGCAAATAAAAATTAAAGGTAATTAGCTGGATATACTGAAAGATCTTTTAATAATCGATAAACTTACAAGTTTTGGTTTCATATCTATGTATGGTATTATAGATAACTGTTTCTGCTTTGGAACAAGTTGGATCTGAAATTTATGGCAACACAAGACAAATTAAAATTCAGTGATTTATCAGATTTAGATCTTCATCTAACAGATACAAGTTGACATTGAACTTACGCTCTTTGGTGTGTTCGCCAAGTAAGGCTTAAAAACACAAGCTGGTTTTCTTTTTAAGACCGGCATCTGAAATTTTCACGACATATTGTCAATTGAGAAATGGTTCGCGAAGAGCCACGGGGCTCAGGAACGATCACTAACTACATTTGAAAGATGATTCACTAAACTCACAAATTTGGATCTCATGTTGATGTATGTTATGACGGCCAACTGTTGCATCTTTTGAACGATTTGTACCTGAAATTAAGAGCATTAAAGAGAACATCGATATTTAATAGCTCATCAGATGAAATCTTTTTTAACATTTATCAATTGAAGAAAGATTTGACTAACGTTTTCTGGTACATTGACCTCGTGAGGTTCACGATCAACGACAAGTTTTCTTTTCAACACGGGCATCTAAAATTTTTCACGATATTAATCAACTTCATGGTTTCATAGATAGCCAAGAGGTAGATAACGAAAACTTACAAGCTTGGAACTCATGTCAATGTATGGTATCATAGCCAATTGTTGTTGCTTTTGCGGAGCTTGCGCCTAAAATTCGTTTGCATGAATGAAATAGGTTATATTATGGGGAAAATATAAAACATCAACTTAATGGATGTTTAATATAAAACGGATAGCCAAGACCAAGCCTTACATAGCAAATTAATCAAATAAATATTGATTTTACACTCAGACACAACGTGCAAAGTTGGCTCATTGGATAAAAGTTTCAGTTTTCAACTCTTACGCAATGACTCAATCCCTAAAGTCACGAAATGTTAGGGCTCGTAGCATTTTATGTGCAGTAAATGTTGGCTACATAAACGATGGGGCACTACCACTGGCCAGTTTAGCTTACTCTTCCTGAGCAAATAAATACACGCAATGATATCATGTCTGAAATTTACACAGTGTAAATGACGAAACACGCTTGCTGGTTGCCAGTCCAATTTGGCTTACTCCTCCTGAGCAAATAAATACACGCAATGATATCATGTCAGAAATTTACACAGTGAAAATGACGAAACACGCTTGCTGGTTGCCAGTCCAATTTAGCTTACTCCTCCTGAGCAAATAAATACACGCAATGATATCATGTCAGAAATTTACACAGTGAAAATGACGAAACACGCTTACTGGTTGCCAGTCCAATTTAGCTTACTCCTCCCGAGCAAATAAATACACGCAATGATATCATGTCTGAAATTTACACCGTGTAAATGACGAAACACGCTTGCTGGTGGCCAGTCCATTTTAGCTTACTTCTCCCGAGCAAATAAATACACGCAATGATATCATGTCTGAAATTTACACAGTGTAAATGACAAAACACGCTTGCTGGCTGCCAGTCCAGTTTAGCTTACTTCTCCCGAGCAAATAAATACACGCAATGATATCATGTCTGAAATTTACACAGTGTAAATGACGAAACACGCTTGCTGGTGGCCAGTCCATTTTAGCTTACTTCTCCCGAGCAAATAAATACACGCAATGATATCATGTCAGAAATTTACACAGTGTAAATGACGAAACACGCTTGCTGGTGGCCAGTCCAATTTGGCTTACTCCTCCTGAGCAAATAAACACACGCAATGATATCATGTCAGAAATTTACACAGTGAAAATGACGAAACACGCTTGCTGGTTGCCAGTCCAATTTAGCTTACTCCTCCTGAGCAAATAAATACACGCAATGATATCATGTCAGAAATTTACACAGTGTAAATGACGAAACACGCTTGCTGGTGGCCAGTCCATTTTAGCTGAGAAATAAATACACGCAATGATATCATGTCAGAAATTTACACAGTGCCTGGCTGCCAGTCAGTTTAGCCGGAGCAAATAAATACACGCAATGATATCATGTCTGAAATTTACACCGTGTAAATGACGAAACACGCTTGCTGGCTGCCAGTCCATTTTAGCTTACTTCTCCCGAGCAAATAAATACACGCAATGATATCATGTTTGAAATTTACACAGTGAAAATGACGAAACACGCTTGCTGGCTTGGGTAATGTCTTAATATACTTGTTGTGGAACTCAATGTCACCAGCGAAATGTATTAAAGACTATACAGAGTTTTTATAGAGTTATCATAGATTTCTCTGCATCACACTTGCCTCTACATGTATTCAAAAAAGTTAGGTAAAAAAACACAGATGATTTCTATGTACGTAATGCATGATCATGTAAAGATGACATGGCTTCATGAAGAAATTAATGTACGTAATGCATGATCATGTAAAGATGCCATGGCTTCATGAAGAAATTAATGTACGTAATGCATGATCATGTAAAGATGACATGGCTTCATGAAGAAATTAATGTACGTAATGCATGATCATGTAAAGATGACATGGCTTCATGAAGAAATAATGTACGTAATGCATGATCATGTAAAGATGACATGGCTTCATGAAGAAATTAATGTACGTAATGCATGATCATGTAAAGATGACATGGCTTCATGAAGAAATTAATGTACGTAATGCATGATCATGTAAAGATGCCATGGCTTCATGAAGAAATTAATGTACGTAATGCATGATCATGTAAAGATGCCATGGCTTCATGAAGAAATTAATGTACGTAATGCATGATCATGTAAAGATGCCATGGCTTCATGAAGAAATTAATGTACGTAATGCATGATCATGTAAAGATGCCATGGCTTCATGAAGAAATTAATGTACGTAATGCATGATCATGTAAAGATGCCCTTCATGAAGAAATTAATGTACGTATGATCATGTAAAGATGACATGGCTTCATGAAGAAATTAATGTACGTAATGCATGATCATGTAAAGATGACATGCTTCATGAAGAAATTAATGTACGAAATGCATGATCATGTAAAGATGCCATGACTTCATGAAGAAATTAATGTACGTAATGCATGATCATGTAAAGATGACAGAAGAAATTAATGTACGTAATGCATGATCATGTAAAGATAACGTGGCTTCATGAAGAAATTAATGTACGTAATGCATGATCATGTAAAGATGACATGGCTTCATGAAGAAATTAATGTACGTAATGCATGATCATGTAAAGATGACATGGCTTCATGAAGAAATTAATGTACGTAATGCATGATCATGTAAAGATGTCATGCTTCATGAAGAAATTAATGTACGTAATGCATGATCATGTAAAGATGATGGCTTCATGAAGAAATTAATGTACGTAATGCATGATCATGTAAAGATGCCATGGCTTCATGAAGAAATTAATGTACGTAATGCATGATCATGTAAAGATGACATGGCTTCATGAAGAAATTAATGTACGTAATGCATGATCATGTAAAGATGCCATGGCTTCATGAAGAAATTAATGTACGTAATGCATGATCATGTAAAGATGTCATGGCTTCATGAAGAAATTATTTAGACTTGTTTTGATTAGAAAAGTGATTAGCTAAAATGTTTGCTTATGTAAGTTTTGTTCTGCTCAAATCAAACATAGTGAAGCTAAAAGTTCAAGATGAAATCGGGATGCGTTGAGAGCAATAAAATACTGTTTTGTTTTGGTGAATGTTTTTGTATGTTTTCCAAAAATCGAAAACAATTGAAATTCTTGAAAATGTGTCGAGTTAAGTTAAAGGAAGTAGTCTTTCGTCTTTTGTTCCGTAGGCAATTTCGTCTTTATGAAAATTGGACTTCATGTTTACATTCCAAAACGGTTGAAAATTTTCCGAAATGAATGCACTCTCATTTATTCCAATTCAGTTATCAGTAACGTCATCAAACTTTTCTCACCAATCACAATCGTGCGCATGCACTTCGTAGCAGAATCGCTCAAGGAGACCTGGGCCTTAGTTTCTTGTTGCCATGACAAATAATTAGTTTTAGCAAGAAAGCGCAGAAAACCTTTCGATTAATAGCGAAAAAATGCTACAGTCGTATTACTCATAAGAAAGCTATTGACCCAAGAAGAAAATAAAACAAAAACACACGAAAAAAAATGTTTTTATTTACTGTAAAGAAAAAACACACAATTAGCTAAAACATAATTCATTACAAAGTAATATAATTGCGACAAAAACTTCTGAAAACTTTATAAAAATGTTTAACTTAAGCGTTATAGCTACTCACCAAAAAGAGCATATTGAAAATCATACCAATTAAACTTTACAAGATACTATAAAAAAGATTGGTACTTACTTCGTCTGAATTATTTTCAGAAAGATCAACTTGTGATGTCTTCTCTGAGATCGTGACGCTGAAAATTTTGGATTCTGAGTTCGAGGCGCATTTTTTTCTGCGTTCTCGTTTGCTTTTTCTATTCTTTCCGAAGCGGCAAGAGAAACAGTTACCCATTTTCTCGTTGCTACTTAACTGCACTGAAAATATCTCTCTTTCGAAATTGCTTTGAAAATATGTAGAACCTTGCGATGCGAGCTATTGCTGCGAAATGAGCAAATTAACATTGCGTGTTTATTGTGACGACAATAATTGGTTCCGTGCGCATTGTTACATCATTAATTCTAAAGAGCCCGGTGCATGCTGGTCGTGCCTTGGGAACTCTAGTACAACCTGTAACGTTAAATCATTGCAAACACACTGAAGTGGATCCTAGTGTTGTATAGTTGGCTGTTCTTTAGACAGTTATATTGAGGTCGTATATGGTATTGTATTGAAATTAGGTATAGTAGTTCTCCTAATAATTAAAATTCAGCAGGACCACATTTCACTAAGTGAGTAAATTTGAAACACTGACTACGGAGCCTGTTCAAAAGAGGACGGAGGAGAATAATATAAGAAAATGTATGTGTATGTGGGACGCTGAATTCTCCTCCCCTCCCCCCCGAATCAATTGCTTGTCTATGGAAAAAGTGTAAAGCAGAGGCATGTCTGCTATGTTATGCAGGCTGCGAACCGTGACTGAAAAAAGCCAAAAAACCTAATTAATTGTTAGGACAGTGAACATTTATTTATTGCGAGAATTAAGTGGTTTTTATTATGTTAGTATTGACTCAAAAAATTTCTTTCTAATATGATTGGCTGATGTCTCGTAAGGTTGCAGTATTTAACAAATGGAAACACAAAGGAAAATTCATCATTTATATTTTCAGTAAATCTGTGCTCTTCAATATGGCGAACCGCTGTGGCCAAATATTCATTCGAAATGTGTTATTTTTTTCATTATTTTGTCATAGTTTCTCAAGCATATACGGTTTGGAACTTGCAAGCTCGAATGGATATGTGAGAAGAGAACATTCACTTTCGAAACCATTTCAAGGTGCTGCATTTTAAACTATTTTTCTTCGGTCGAACCGGCTGCTCGTGCTCGGCGCCCCGACGGACTTTTGAGCCTTCCAAAATTTGACGGAAATCAAATTTGGATCGCTCTCAAAACATGCACTTTTTTGTATATGCGCCTTCTTGACACTTCTTAAGCGTTGCTGCTGGTTATTTCTTTAATTTATGTAAAAATAAATTGACATTGATGAAAATCTACAATTGATTTGCTAACTCAGCATGTTCAGAATTAATCAATAGTAGTATTTCAAAGTTTTCCAACATGTAAGATGTGGCGTTTTTGTCATAGTCCTTAGAGCTTACAGCAGTTTTTATTTAGTTGGTAGCACTAGCCTGCAATTTTGGGATTTTGGTGGTGACACATTGATAACCAGTAATCATATCCGATTGACCGAGGATCATCAAAGTCAAAAAGGGTTTATTTGGAACACATTGGTCAGTGGTAATAAAATAAGATTTGTTTTATGTCCGAGTAGTGAATTAACATGAAAACTTCTTTTACCATACAGCCTGTAACAGCTCGCGATTGGGAAATCCATATCCATTTTTCAGTTCATGGTTCTGGAGATTCACTTTATGGAGATGGCTTTGCGTTCCATTATGCTAAAGAGAAAATGGAATTCGGTAATAAATTGAGTTTATTTAGTAAATTTCATTAAATCTATGGATGTGGAAAGTTCATATGATAAATTTATGCACAAATGTTATTTGTATTGTTTAGGTCCTGTCTTTGGAAGCAAAAATTTCTTCTCAGGACTTGCTGTTTTCTTTGACACTTATAGTAATGCAAATGGTGATAACGCTGTAAGATTGATATCCATTGAAGTTTTCTTCAAAGCAAACCACATTTCAGCAATGATTTTTCTTCTTGATATAGGCAGACCACCCTTATATATCAGCTATGGTAAACAATGGTACCTTAAACTACGACCATAATCGTGATGGTGCTTATTCACAAATACAGGGCTGCTCGGTTTGTATTTTACCTCTTGTATAACTGTTTTCATGATTTCAAGCGCTCATTGAATATCTTCATGGTCCAATTTTGACAGTTCAGATATTTTCTTAGGCTTCTTTTCGCAATAATGGAGCGGAAACATATGCTTTGATTCAGTACTTGGGTAGCAAAGAAACTTTAACAGTTATGACAGACATTGATAGTGATGGTGAATGGAAAGCATGTCTTCAGGTCTCTGGTATACGACTTCCGACTTCATATTTCATTGGTCTTAGCGCTGCTACTGGCAATTTGGCAGGTGGGTCACTGTAAAATGGCTTATGAATTTCTCAGGAGCAAAAAAGATATTGATAAAATACAAGAAAAGTCGTTCTTCTGAACTGTGTTATGGTAAAGTTGTGTCGGCCAAGCATTTCTTTGTTTCCCTGAAAAGATTGAGTAAATAGGATTTTGGTAGTTTTTTTGCTTTCAAACGTAACACATTGCTGACAAAGACATTAAAGAACGAGTATAACAGTAATGCCTTGCGCGCTTAGCGAGCCATAGCCATTTTAGGGACATCCAATGATGGCGTCATTTTAGGTTGTTAGTTCCACAAAATGTCTACTTTCCCTGCCAAATCTGGTCTATTAACGCTAAAGCGTGGTAGGGCATGAAATGAAGACGAAATAGCAAGAGTAAAGTTTGGAGAAAGACGTTATTTCAAGTTCAGTTATTCTGTTGAACCATCTGCATCATATATCAGAAGTTTAATTCCAGTAGTAAACACAGGCGTGCAAAGCTGTAATACTCATTCTTTGGATGTCGCGTTACCTGTTAAGATCATCTTTGAAAAACGTCGTTTTATCGTGGTACTAATCATAATTCCTGCACAACAGATAATCACGACATCGTCGGTTTGAAATTCTACGAGTTGGAAGTTGAGAAAGATGAACAAACAGTTAGAAGTACGGAAAACACCGATGATATTGTCCCATTTGTAAAAACGGAAGCTGTTAAAGGTTAGTAAGTTCGATACATATCATGGCTCATACACAGTGCTGTATAAGTGAGGGGGCGCTTGGGGGAGGAGCCCCTTCTACCCCTTTAACCAGATGGCATTGTACCTCTGATGAAGACTATAAAATGTTAGGAGAAATAATGTCAATCCCTTGTGTTGTTAATAGCAGTGCTGTAGAAGTGGGGGGGGTGGGGCGCTCGGGGGAGGATCCCCTTCTACCTTTGAAATGGGTAATTTTTTATAATTTCATGGCTTCAGCTTTGTTAAGAAAACCCCCATCTGATAAATTTAGTTCTACAGCACTGCTAATACATACCAGAGCACGATTTTCTTTTGCATACCTTCAACATCATGACTCATCATACCAGCGACGAATTTTAAATTTTTTTCTTCCAGAGCCTGTCGAGAATTCCCCGAAAGGACACTCTACACGGCGAATGACGAAAGCGTTCACGTGGTTTTTCTGGATTTTGGTGGTCGGTGTCATTGTTTGTGTGGTCGGATTTTTTGTATACAAGAAGCAACAGGAGGCTGCACGCAAACGATTTTTTTAACGAAATGAACAAATATCGCTTCTGCATCGCTAAAAATTTGTAATCTTTATACAAAATGCCTCAAGACAGATGGCGGCATGTCTATTTTACCAGAATGCATTTCAATCTTCACACAAAACGGATGAATGTGTGTTTGTGCGTGTGAATCTCGAAACGACGTCTGTTCAACAATATGTACGTCAAATCGAAGTTGAAATATTCATAACTTATTGGAAAAATACTCATCCGCCATCTGCAGTTAATTTCACAATCGAAAAGTTACAAATTGTTGCGTTTGAATTGCCACATTGTTTGAGGCAACAACACACTCACCGCCTGTTGTAGCTCTATAAATAATTCAAAATAAATTATCGCGGGAATGCGGGCTCAAACAGGTCGTTGAACGACTAATCACTCGAACTTTTTTTTTCATTGGCTAAGTAATTCAACCATAGTTAACTGGAAAAAACAAGGCGCCGCCGCGCAATGCATGACGGTATAAATTTACTGGTTAACGTATATGTTTACTGTGCTTCACTATTTTAGCTACTTTTCCCATCATTCAATAATCTGTGTATACATCACAAACCAGGACGCTAGCAAATATCCAAATTACATTTGGATAAAAATATTTCGGATTTTTTTATTTGAAAATTCAAGACATCGTTACAAGTAAAATACGTGTTTTTTTAAACAAAGGATAGAACGCTTCGTCTATCCAGGTAAGTTAAATAATATCAGCCTGTCAGCCTCTGTAATACATCGTGCTAAGGTTCATTTTACAGACAAGAACTCCTACACTGCAGCTATATGATTAGCTGCAAGCAAGTCTTGACACAAAATAAGGTGAGTTGAATGATGGCGAGCCCTCAGGACCACCGCCATCATCAATCGTCATTAAAAGTTACCTAAAATTTCATACAATCAAAGTGCATCTATCGCAGCCTTGAATTACCCACACATACCTGTCAATACGATACCATATATAAGTTATTATTTACCAATAAAATCAATAGTTTCTAGAAATCCGTTCTTTTCATTGGTCGAGATGTGTCGAATTGATCGAGAGCGACTAGTGGATTTACTTCACTATATCTTGTCGACTTGGTTAACCTACGAGGTGATGAGTCATCGTCTGCGAAACTCCTTTGAGTGACCAGCGGTTTCATGTTGGGCGCTTTCATCGTCCAGTTGACCTGAAAAAGAACAACATTTTAGAGATCGTCAAACGTGACCTTGTCATATACGTCACTATTTGCTCTTTTTCTTCAATCCAATTGGTCATTCCAATTAACAAGATACTTGCAGTCAAGCAACTATGCCCCAGCAATCACAAATAGCTACACATGTAATGATCATCGTTGGTAGTAATCTATACACATCTATCATCGACAAAATCTTAATGTTAAACAACCTAAAGTTTGATGGGCGAATATAATATTTACTATCGTTGAGAAACATGACGATAGCGTTACATCATATTTTTGGAAAATGACTCTACTTAAAATTTTATTCAAACATGTTATCCATGAATAAAACACGATATTTAAGAAATAAAAGATGTTTACTGTGTTTGCACAGGCTTATGCAAACCGAGGAGATCTTCGGGAGAACTCGAAAGCAGATCAGTGCAAGCCCGAGACCGAAGGTTGAGGTTTGCACATGCTCGAGAGGTTTGCATAAGCCAGTGCAAACACGAAAAACATCTTTTATTTTTTTTAAAAATAATAATGCGAAAAAGACAAACATTTTAATTTTTCCTCTAAAATGTATTCATGATCAATTTGCAAATTCTCTTTGACTGATTGATTGTTAAGATTGGTTGAGCTCAGATGTGTTTTGCACAGGCCAATGCAAACACAGCTCTAGGCCAATCAGCGCACGCGTTTTATTGTGTTTATTTTATAATATGATTTAATAGCTTACCACTGATCTGTTGGAACCTCGAAACTAGAAACGGAATAATGGCAAATCTTAATGATTATGAAATTCAATGTTGACTCGAATCACTTATTTTTTTGCTTACTTACCTTTGTAGAAGCGACATAAGAAGCTTTGACTGTTAGTATAACAGCATTCATCAAGTTTTTCGCAGCTGTTATAAGAGAAGTTGCACTTTCCAACTGATAAAGAGAAAAGGAAACTTTAAATCATGGTCTCGAAGTTAGCTAGTATATTAATTAAGCAAAGGAGACACAATAGCTCTGCATATTTCATTTCAAGTTGAACGCTTTGGCACCTACCGCTAAAGTGGGAAATTTATTTCGTAAAAGAAAGTCACAAATATCTCCGCTGGCAACGGACTTACCGCTGACACAACAACGGACTTACCGCTGACACAACTTCAACGCCACTGATTGTCTGGATATCAGCTTTCACTCGACTGGTGATGGTGAGTTGATGTGAAAAAAGAGAGACGCGTTGAATGTATGCGAGAAGATCGTTCTTCGATTGAGAATGAGGACACTAAAGTCAGGAAAAGAAACTTGGATGCAAAACATGCGAGTGCGAAAATCAAATACATGCAATAGAGAGCAATAAAAAGTACGGCCCTTGGGGCCGGTTGCAGGAAGCCTGGATAGCGTTATCCATTGGGCAGCAATTTTTTTAAACTTTTATAAAACCTTTTAAAAAGCAAAAAATATAAGATTCGAATTTGAGCAATCACTGAAATAAAATATTTTTTCGAAGATAACGAATTTGTTCGATAACAAGTTTGAAAATTTTTCCTATCCAATGGATAACGCTATCCAGGCTTCGTGCAACCGGTCTCTGCACTATAATATTTACAAGAAACTCAAGCTTTCATTTTGTTTTTTTTTGAAAGACACTCTTTCGTTTGCTTAAATATCCAGATTAGGCAAACGCAAAGGGTAACATTGAAAGTGTCTAAAAGACAGATTTTATGTTCCACTGGATACCATCACAAGAACATCCAATCTTGTTGAGATATAAATGTAATTTTCTGTCTCTCACAATAACTTAAGTTTAAAATAAACTGAAAGAATTTGCCCGGCATTAGAGACGTACAATGGTCACATAATGAAGCATTTCGGGCGGCAAAAATTTGCCCTTGTTGTTCGCTATTATGTTTGCTCAACAAATAAATCACACGCACCTTTTCAGCAACTTCTGTTGATAATTGATTTATTCTTTCGCCAGCTTTTGCAATACGCTACAACCAAACGCAAACAAAAAAATATTGTCAGAATCACCCACAAGAAGAATAATTAACATAAATTTTCTACATGTTGTAAGCCGGCACTTTGAAGTCATGCCCAATGAACTAAAATACATGGATCGCTACATGTAATAGAAAAACCTAATAATTTTCTGAAGCTAAACCGTGCCTGGTTGTGAGATTTTGCTTCAATTATTTGCTTCAGGTAGCTTTCCATGTATTTTAGTTCAATGGTCATGCCACGACATAGAAATGGCCAGAATTATTACATTGACGTCACATTATTATATTGTGACTATTTTTTTTAATTTTCTCTTGTGCTGTGTTGTACATTGACATATATATAAGGCAGATTTTTCTCTACTTTTTTTAGAATATCAATCACAAATCGGAAATCATCTGCTTCAGAATCGACACTCACCTTTGCCGCAGTTATAACGTCCATGGTTGTCTTTAATGTTCCAGTACCTCTGTTAATATAAAAAAAACAAACAGCGTTTGTTTGATCTCAGATGACATAAGGAAAGTCGTGATTAACCAACGTACCTTGTAAAGTCCGACATATCCATCATCATCACACACATCTTCTTAGCCAAAACAACAATCTCGTTGCCAGATTCATCCCACTGTGACAACATATTTTCGAACCTCGATTTCTCTGAGCGCAGCTCGGTTGACAGTTGTTCAATTTTCGCCTTATCTTCGGCGGGCATCGCTCTCATTTTTGCCTAGTTTTATGAAAAAAAAGATCGAAAAACTGACCCAATCACAAAGCACAACGCAATGCATCATGGTATATGGCTAAGCTATACGTATGTAAGTAGATATTAAAATGGAAATACGTAGATCGATACGCATCGCGCCATCTTACAACTGTCTCAATTTCATTAAGGTGTTGGCAGGTTTAATTTAAGAGGGCACCCCACCAATACAGTCTGCCATAACGGGAAATTTTTATCAAAGAAAAGGACATGAAAATATTATTTAGTAATGATTAATATAAAGCACACGAACCCTGTCACTCATTTCCGCGAAACTCGTTCCAGTTTCTTCATCATCGCTATCATTTTCAGGTTCAGGTTCGGGTTCGGCTGCGAGTTCGAAACCGTCGACGGCGACAAGCGAAGGCGGACGAACTAAAAGTAACAGGAAACGTGTTGAAACGTGCTGCACACGCATTTCGGAGAATCTCTGCAAAGCTCTTCATTAATAGTGATGCAAAAATTCGTTAAACAAAATACCTGGTTCTTCCTCGACTGCTTTCACGGCAGCGGGTAAAGAAACAAAGTCGGATAATACCGAGGGTCCTTCGTATCGAGGCTTCGATTCCTGTGTGACCCAATCTACTGCATCTGGTCCCGTGTATCCCATAAATACCCAAGAGCCACCTGGTCCAGGATTTACATTACCAGTAGCACCGATACGACCAAGCGAATCCTTTGCTTCATTAACACTAACACCTGTAAATGAGCTTTGATCGTAAATCTGGATTTGACATTGATCTAATTTAATCCGGAGTTTATCTAAGCTCTTGCATTCATATAATTGTTATTTAGTACAGACGTGTGCTCTCTTCTAGCTAACAACATTCTTCACAACGACCGTTTTAGGAAAACAACAGTAGAGTCTCAAATGTCGCCGCACCGCACGAGTTATTTTCGATAACGGTTAACTCAAAAGGTCAAGTCTTAAACCACGTTGTAAAAACGATATTTTTCAATGAGTTTAAAGGAATGGAAGGTTGAGTTAGTTGATACAAACGCGTATGAACCCTTTATTTGAATAAAAACGTAAATGCTGCAAAGCTCTTAAAAGTTCTTATGCTTTCGTGAAGGCGATCGTACTTTCGCGTTTCTTTAGTATAAATGTTAAAAAAGACGGCTGCTTTCAAGGGGCTTCAGTTATTTTCCCTCTACGTTACTACTGCATACCTTTAGTATCTTGTGTAGCAATGAGTACAATCCTTTCGTTCGGTAAACCATCGAGAAAACGTTGCATTTCAACACCTTCGTTCTTTGATGCATCACCGGTATCGAAACATTTCGATGTGACGAAGTTTCCACTGTCGTCGAGGACGACAACGTTATGACCTCGGTGTTTCATACTTCTTTCTACACCGTTTACTTTTATGCTACAGTAGCCTAACTTGTTAGGGTCGTCGGAGCCTTCGCCACGAAGAACTATCTTGATTTTACCTATAATTTTATGATTATACCCAAGCTTAATGCTGGAAATAAATTTACATTCGATTATCGTCTATAATAATTCAAACATGCGGTGTCTCCAACAAATTACCAAGAGAGCAAGTTTAAACTATTCTAAGTTGATTATGCAACATGAAAAAAGCAGTCTCAGATAAAATAAGGAAACAGAGGATTAGAGATAGTTTTAAACAAACGCCGCCGCTTTTATGTTTATAAATTCTTACGTTGTCGACATTTTGGGTTTCATGCATCATAAGCAAACCATCCATGAGCTTCATGGCAAACAAGGAAGGCTCACTTATTTATTTGACCATAAAATGAAACAAGTAAATTAGATAAACCTAGAAGGATTATTTGTTTCATTTCATGTTGTAACAAATAACAAAGCCCAAGTCTATAAACTTTTTATAATGGTAACATTTAATAAAGCCATTGGTGTATAAAAATCATTCTAAAAAAGAACAAATACCACGGTGAATGTTCAAAATAATAACATAATAGTTCTTAAAAGAACTATTTAAAACCAGAACTAACCCAACAATTCTAAAAGAACTGTTTTTAAACCGTTTTGGGTTAGTGTTCTGGTTTCAAACAGTTCTTTTAAGAACTATTATGTTATTATTTTGACCATTCGCCGTGGTATTTTCTCTTTTTAAAACAATTTCTAAATTTGACAAAATCTTTTTACTGGTATAGAATAAATTCAATCTTAATGTAAAGGAATGAAGGAATTTCGATTAACTTTGGACAAAAAACCAACTTCAATAGATATTTTAGACCATTGACTACACACACACAGCGCAGCAATATTAAAAATTTGTTACCCTGTTCATGAGCCGGTGTGAACATGAGATTCGACACCAACGTTGGTCCTTGCCCTGCAGGTCGACTCTCCTCGTGTATCCATGGTTTCTGCTCAGGTCCCGTGTATCCAGCAAACGCCCAAGATGATCGGTAACCGGAATCAAATGGCCCTTGAGCTCCGAGTCTTCCAAGGGCGGGAGCAGCGTACTCGACCCCAGGACCTACACGGTTAACGACATTACAACAACAATAATAATAACAAAGGCTGAAGTTTATAAAACGCACCAGTAGTTTCCTGGGTAGCAACCAATACAATATGGTCTTCGGGCAATTCATCCAAAAATTTTCCCATGGCAACGCCACCTTCTGGCGCTGTTGTGTCGAAATTTTCCGACGCCACAAATTCTCCCGCGGGATCCAACACGACCACGTTATGTCCAACTCGCTTGTGACAATACTCTACTCCATTCACCTTGATAGATGCCACACCCATACCACCTACGTCATCGCCACCAGATGCCCGGATGTCGTAATGAACTTTACCTTGGAAAAAATAAGTTACAAAACAGTCAAACCATAATGCGAATTATTACACACAAACACAAAAGTCTGAAATCTATTCCTTTAAATCGTAATATTCTCGATGAAATTGAAAGAGGGTTATCTCATCTTGTAATACTTAGTTACAATTTTCCGAATATGTTTTATTACATATACTTCATGAAATTGTCGTAACTTTTAGTTGCAACTATTACACGTAATATGTTTGGGTATATGTGCGTGTTCATATGCGAGTAGATAACGATATTAATGTGTATTGTGTATTTTTAATGACCATATAATGCAGGACTTCAATGAAAAACATACAAGTGATGTGAGGATCTTGAATATAGAAACAAATACAATTCAATCAATTCAATTCAATCATGAAAATACAATAATTGTGTCTTTTCAAGGACAGCTGTAACAGAATACAGAGAACGACACCACAATTGAAGGGCTCAACACAGATGAACGTAAAAAACGTCACGAGATTAAAGTGAAGGGCGAAAGAGGAGTTTACAAAATCTTGTTTCGGAAAATTAATTCAAATATGGTCATATGCTTGGACGAGTCTCCGATGAAGTAGACTTTGAAATAAAATACTGTTCAATAAAGACTTTGTCGTGGTGGCAAATCTACAAAATGTTACAAAAATAGCAATTGCCATGGTAGACGGCCAAAACAACGCAAGACTTCTAGCAAAAGAACTGGTTTACAACCAAAACACCGACCCAATAAATCTAAAAAGAACTGTTTTAAAACACGGGATTCATTTCGACAGACTACTCTACAGGTGTCAACGTCTGCAAAATGAAAACGTAAAATCAATCGAATCGACGTTCATAATGGCATGAAAAAGTAAACGTTGGAACACCTAGTTTATTTTGGCCTTCCACCATGGCAATTGCTCACTTTAAAACAATTTTTAAAACACTGTTTCTACCTTAAACACTTTTACCTGCAGCTTGTATTTGTTCATAGGCGGCCTCTTCTTTAGCGACAGTCAATTCTTGTTGAACCTGGGCCGTGTAAATTGGATCGATATTCGTTTCCAACCCGCTAATGTAACGTTTCTACATCAAATTAGAACGTAAACCTTAGCAAGAGCCTAAAACCTTTGAGGAAACGATGCAAAAACATTCATACCGTTTTCACGTTAACTGCTTTTCTCACATCTCTTATTGCATCGTAAACCTATATAATAATCAAATTCTTACAGTCTTCATAATAATCCCATTCATGTAATAGCTACGGTGATAGGAAAACGAACAGTTTAACTTTAAGTGCGTGTGACATTTTAAATTATATTTTCATTGAACAGAACTTTAAAATGACACTGCACTTTCTAGAGTTCATTCCTAAGAAATCAAAGTTTTTTGAATAAGTCCGACTCATACAACTCGTGACGTCATTCTGCATAATAGATCGCAGCACACTTTCAGACATCCGCTAGTTTCCTTGCAACTTTTGGTTGATATGATTGGGCAGTTTTCATGCGATCAATTCTTCACAACGAAGGGAACTCCGCTCCACTGACGTAACAAATCAGCAAATATACCTCAAAATTTCAAATTTTCATGATGCAATGTGACGTCACAAATTTTGCAAAGCGTACATTAACGACACAAACTACAATATCTTGAGAACGAAGTGTCATACGAATAAACTGTTTTAGAAGAAACGCTATCTATTTGAACGTTATGTTAAATGAAAATATAATCTAAATAGCACAACTTTCGTGTCGTGTGCACTTTAAATGCATTAAACATGTAGCAAGATGTAACAACATGAAGTTCGGTGAAAATTTGGTGAACACTTCGCCAGACCAGACATGATGTTTACTTACGAGTTGCGATGCCTGAACAACAGCTTCCTCGTCAATTTTCTCGCGAGGATTTCGGTTCAAAGTTTCCACAGTTGAATCGACGACTTCGGAAAATCTTGGAATAACTGTAAGTTATAAATATAAGCAATAATTAGTTTTAAATTCTTTTCAATAGTTATTACAGACCTTGTGGTCATTATAAAAGACAGACGATAGAGCGATTTAACAATGAACTTATCAACTGCACACTCGCAATCCAATTCATGATTTGGAATAATAACGATTCCAACGGATATTACATAGTTGCACTGAAAGATGAAACTTTGCTATTTGAATGTATTCGTTCAACTCCAATTTAAACAACAAACAGAAGTGTTAAGTTATTAACGCGCTTTGTTTTGTGCTAATTAACGGAAATACAACTTGTGCAGGCAATTATTTGTTCATTTAGCCATTTGTAATCAAATAGTCAAAAACTCGAACCTATCGATTACATATCCCAGCAGAGCTACACATATCCCAGCAGAGCTACACATATCCCACCAGAGCTACACATATCCCACCAGAGCTACACATATCCCACCAGAGCTACACATATCCCACCAGAGCTACACATATCCAACCAGAGCTACAAATATCCCAGCAGAGCTACACATATCCAACCAGAGCTACAAATATCGCAGCAGAGCTACACATATCCAACCAGAGTTACATGCCAGTAGCAGATTTTACCCAGCGTTAATCGAACATATGTGAAAGTTGGAAAACACTTACTGTCTTCCTCGAGTGATTTCACAGTCTTCTGTACATTTTCAGTATACGGTCCTTGCTCGAAATTTTCCATTTCAGCCAATACCACTGCAGCAACGCGCTCCGTGCGCCCACGAATGAGACCAGCAGTCCTATCCAGTGTCTCCACATCTCTCTCCTTTGTCGCCTTGATACAGGATTCAACGTCCTCTCCAATATGATTTTCTATCAAAAAAAAAACAATTAAATACTTAAACAGCAACTGTAAACAGCACATTAGTAGGAAAGGAATGTTGTGGTAAAGTTTGAAGCTAAACACATGCTAGGAAACTGGCTAATACTGTTGTACATTTTGTGTCTAGGTAATCTTTCTTACTACGTTGAACTCAATAGGATCGACGACAGTCACTAGACTTAATTGAGCAAAATGACACAACACAAAACATAACACAACAAACACAAACATGCACTAAGAATACACCATGATAAATCATTAGTGTATTAAGCAGGTGAGGTGATCAATGTGTTCATACCTGAAACAGTTAGAAATTCGTCAATCTCCGTGATCTCATCCACAGCTTCAACCAGAAGATGAACTTGACTTTCCCAAGTCGCTTTGAATGTGTCGATATTGGCGCGTGCCGTGCGACTACGTGGACGGGCTGCCAACGTGCGGGCTGCATTTATCACCTAAAAGTGAGGCAACTTTACTCGCAAAAAGCTAGGCAAAAAAAGCGGTGTGCGAGTACAAGAAGACTGGGGCTGAATAGTACAATGTGTCATAATATATTTGAATGCAAACTTTTTCGTAAGACCTACACAGACACAACAACAAATATATAGTTTTTTACCAACCTGTGGACATAAATTGTGAATTTTCTTGGTGATCACTCGAACAAGTTTAACTCCCTCAGCATTATTAGACACAGAGCAAGCGAGATTGGCGACCTGAAGTGACACAATAAAATGGTTTTTTTTCATTAACGTTAACCTGTTGCAATTTTGAAAATATGTTAGTCAATGCAAGTACACATAAGTACACAGAGCAAGCGAGATTGGGTATATGTGCGCGTTTTATCTCCCCTCTCCCTCCTGGTTTGTTTATACTGGGTTTTTTTCCCGGAGTGCTCCAATAGTTTCTTCCTTTATCTTGCACGCGTACTTAAAAGGCCACGTACTGGTGGTGAGTATACATTTCGCAAGGTGGATAGACTATCTTACTTTTCATTACGACTAAACGGTTGAAATAACATATACTGTATGCTATAACTCTGTACCTCTTCCAGTTTCGCAGCTCCTTCGCTGAACACAATGGCGCATTCCTCGACCCCACGTTGATTACCATCTTTGGCAGCGTCAACAAGCAACATCAGCGGTACAAGAGTGTCGAGAAAGGTATCCGAGATATGATCAGCCACGGCAACACGCATCTAAAACATAAATTTCTGACAATAAGAAAGCCATGTATGTCTGTTGAGTGTTGACGCATGATGTTTACGGCTGTAGTCAACACACTTTTACATAAATTTTACACGTTTTACAGATTGGCGAATAAAGATACAAACCTGACGTCGTAGATCTTGAGTTTTGTCGGCCATGCTATCAATGGACTCATTAAGTTCATCGTTCGGTGTCGGTGTCTGTTTTGTCTCGGCCTGTACAAAAAGAAAAACAAAACAAATAAAGGCGAGACGAGACCATCAATTTCATTTCCAGCAACGTAAACGGCATGATTTTAGCCTTACATAATGTATGTATATAGAAACAAGTTCTTGTAGGGCCGTGTGAACTTTGACGCATTCTTCGAGTAACCTTTCCTTCGTTGTTGGACGTGTCGTTGGTAAGTCGGATAATCTTCGCGCTCCGGATAAAATCCTTTCAGTTTGTTCTTCAATTCTCAATTGAGTTCGTCTTTCGAGAAAGGCGGCCGGGTCCATGACAAGACTCGCCTGGGAAATGAAGTAAGTCAATCAGGGAAATGGTGGTTTTCACTGTAACTATTTAACTTGTGATGATGCTGTTTAAAGTGAATGGTTTGAACCCGGGAGTATCGTTCCATGTTTGCAGATGAAGGTCGTCCAAGTTAGTAGAGTCCTGAAAAGAACTGTTGGCGTTGATGTTGACTGACGTTTCGACATTCCACTTGACTCAGAAGATGACTACCGCTAAGGTTGTCGAAACGTCAGTCAACATCAACACCAACAGTTCTTCTCAGGACTTTACTAACCTGGACGATTTACATTTTAAACATGATGATGCTTGTTGTGTTGATGAATGATTTGTCGTGAAGTGTATTAAGAGGGAAACGATCGTTTTGGATTTTATCCGAACAAGAAAAGCAACAACAATTGGATCTGTTTAAAAATATAAGAGAATAAAAGCGAATAAAAGAGAATGTTATACGAGAAAAATTTGAAAGGAAAAAGAAAAACAGTGTTTCGAGCTGATATACACAAAGACCTGGCTTCGGAAAAAGTAATGCAATGTCTTAGATGGTACATAAACACGTGATATCGGAGTGCCATGATGTGATTGGTTTAAAATTGTCATACAACATGTTAACGAATACGCTGATTGAATTTAATGCGATACTCAAATTACAGGAGAAGGTTGTCTGAAGCACGAAAGAATTATCCATTGAATGAACAGCGATTTCTTTCAAAAGTGTTAAAAAAGCGGTTTTATGATATCATAGAACTAACTTTGCATGTCAATGATTGTCCACATCAAATCGCAACTTTTTCCCTATCGGAAAATGTTTGAATTTAAAACCCATTTAAAAAAGTTACTATCCATTGAATAGACCTTACTTACTTGATGAAACCACTCCCAGGTAATAATTAAAGGGCTTGAAATATTCCTACATGCTAACTATTCCATAAAAAATAATTATTAAAACTGGGTAACATACATCAAAGTTATCCAAAGCTCCAGCCAAAGCTCCAGGTGCCTCAAGGGGACTGGGTTCACTTTTTCCCGTCGCCTGAGCTGAAACAGAGATAGTTTGAAGTGCTTCACCCATCTGTTTCAAAACATAGTCCCTGTTGAATCTTGCTGATTGAACATCTGGATGTTGTACATGTGACAAATGTAATTTGACATACACCTATGTCAGTCAACATGTCCTAGGACTCTAAATTGTGATACATGTAATATAATCCTGGGTTCAAACCATTTACTTTCAATTGTGTTAAGTTCCAGATATTACAATCTGGTCCTCCCATAGGGGATGGCAATAAGAATAACTTGCCTCAGGCTCACAGCTTGCTCAGAGAACAACCCAATCATAGGAATAATGAGAGTAAACAGAGCCATAGGACTGGCCCCCAAAACATTTTTCCCCAGGCCACAGCAAAATAATCAATCATTTACTTACTTAAACAGTTAAATTCACTGCATAAAGAGTGACATACCCTTGATGAAGAGAGAAGCATTTTGGTGGCATCTTTCAGCACGACTCTGGCAGAAGCAATGTCTTCTTTTCGTCGAGGGTCTTTCAGATCCTTCAAATGGAGGTGAATTTAGAAAATCATGTAAGAAGGCAATCAACAAGCAATCATGTAAGAGATCCAATGTACTTACAGCTTGTCTGGCACCAGATAGCTTTGCTAGACTCATTAAATCAACACCAAGACTTTCGAATGTGGCAATCAATTCATGTGGGTCTTTAACTCTTTCAAATTCTTCCAACTTCTCTTCGACCTAATAAGTTTATTTGAAATTAGTGTGATGAGGTTTACATTGCAGCTACCTAGGATATGATGCACTGAGCTAGCAAAGAAAAAAATTGCAGTAAAAGCAACTCATTCTGTGTTCAAAGAACAGTGTTTAAAACCCAGTTAAGGGAGGGGGGGGTTAACTTGGGATGGTGTGGCAAATTTAATAAATGGGGCACAAACTTCAGGGTCCCCTTAGGAAGAAACATTCAAGAAAACAGATGGCAGCTCTATACCAAGTTGAGAAAGGGGCAACTTACCACTTTGAGAGCAGCAAGCAGACGGTAGACATCCGCCATATCAGCAATGCATAATAATCGTGTCACCGCAGTGAGTAATGCTCTTGCTGATTTGATCATGTTGTTACGTTTCTCATTGGAATGAGGATCATTTGCGAAAGTCTTTGCATCAATGCTCATTACCTCACCTTAATATTAGAAAGTAAGAATAGTAATGAGTTAATAAATTTTGACCAGACAACAATTCAATTAAATACAAAATAAAACAATCCAAAAAGGATCATCTTGTCAACTTTTTTTATAACTTGAATTTAAGTTCACAAGACAATTAAAACTGCAATATTTCACTTTTCCTTCAAAACCAATTTAATATTACAGTTTTGATTGTCTTGGTTTATAACGTTAATTTACGTTTGCAAGGTGTCTTTGTTCAGATTAATTTATGGTAATAGTTTAAATTTTCTACATTTACGTGTAGAATTTAAGAACATGTTGATAATTGTGTACACGGAAAGGCTCAACAAAATAAAATACAAATAACCAATATGGACAGAAAAGATAGAAATGACTTTACAATAACTTTTTAGTTACCAGCTTTCTTGGTATCATGACATGTTTGCAACATTTCATCAGCAATATCGGGAGAATTTTTAGCAATATCATGACCAACATGAATCAACCGATCTATAGCGACATTTATTTCTTGTACCAACTGATGGGCAGTTTTGCTCTTGCCAGACTTACGTAAAGATTTGTAACGGTTAACCAGCGTGGTCACCTTGCAAAAGTTGAAAAACATTTTCATCTCAAAGTATGACAGTAAACATTTTCCTATGACCTACTTGATGTATGTCAGATACAATTTTACAGCATAATAAAAACTATTTTAATTTTTCAACATCTGATGTAAATAATCAAGCGTATATTGGTCACACAAACAAATACTGCATTAGAAGACAGCGCTTCAAATGGCATTTAATCAGTGTTAAAATGTCAAAATCCAAGTCCATATTGATATACTTAAGCACATTTGATATTCAACTTCATTAGTTTCTGTTGAGATCAATTGTGATTACAAATTGCCTGTCACTAATATTTCATACGACTTTTCCAGTTTATAGAAAGTGAAGTGAAGAAAACAGCAACAGGCTTTAAACACAAATGTAGTATACACAAAGTACAACTTTCAGCCTTTCAGGTATATATGATGTGAAATGTCAAGCACAACCAACCCAATTCCAGCTCACAATGAATAACCATAAAAAAGGAAATAAAATGGGGCATGGCTTTTGTTTTATATTGAAATTCGGTATGTAGGTAATACCAAAAATGCTGGGCCATCGTAAATGCCATGGCAACCTGAGGAGTCACAATTATAACTAATTCTCTTAATTGGTAACGTTTTCATTCGCCCGGTTTGCGGTCGAAATCCTGGCATGTATTCAAACTTGACCGTTTGTAAAACGTTAAACGCAATCCCTTCGGTTTTTTGATAAAAAAATGACCTTCGACAACGTCAAATAAAACTAACATAATTTACGAACGTCAGACACTTCGAACGGACAAAAGGATGGTTTACAAATGGCTTAATGCATTAGGCACAAGGCAATTTCAATCATTTCAAAACATTAAATAATACTCATGGGCGTTCGCTTCGCAAATTAATTGCAACGAAAATTTAGAAATGAGAAAGGCAATAAGAGCGTTCTCTCGAGCAAAATGTATGAATTTCCCAATTTGTAATTGGTCATATCTTCTACTCGTGAGAAAAATATGAAAGCGAAGGCGAATATGTTATTTTCTCATTTTCCCGTGAACTTGAAACTACAACAGCGAAGTATACACACACTCAAATAATATAACAGTATATATTAAACAGAGCACGATGTTAAACGACCACAAACATGACTCAAAGTTCCTTTCATTTCCAAACTTACTTGCTGAACAAGTGGTTCGAGTGCTTTCTCGACAGAATGAGTGAGAATCTCAATTCGTTTCGGGTCCATTTTAGCTTTGCCGTGTTCAACTTGGTACTCATAACGCACCGTCCGTTGGCTAGCCATATTGACTAAAGTTCAAATAAAATTCGTTCAAGAATTCAACTTATTTTGAGCCACTTCAGAACATTCTCCTTTCATAATGTACGTCGTCAGAAAGTGTCTCAGGCATTTGAAGATCACGTGGGGTCTCTTGTGAGAATTGTTCCGGAACACTATTCTTCAAATATGTAAATATTCACCAATTTTTCCAAATAGACACTACAAAAATGTAAACAAAAAGACAAACGACGCAGATTTCGTAATTTGACGTTTTCGTTCAAACAAGTGCATCTCTAAAACGGTGGTTATATTCTAGTAATGTTAGTTTGCAACAATCATCGCCAGGACTAAGGTTGGTCAGTCCAGGCGGACTCATGTAAAAGCCAAATGGAATTTCGAAGAAACATTCCACTGTATAATGAGTAGTTTTTGGAATGTGTAAAGTGAGCTAAGAAACATGTTTTGTCATGTAGAAACAATCTATTTACGTTGTGAGTTTTTAAATGATTTAGTTGATACTTTTGATACAAATCATGAAAACAGAAAAAAACAAAACAAAACAGTCAAACTAATAAACTTTTCTAAGCTATCAGCTTTTACTTATTCTCTACGTGATTTTTACATTTCATTAATAATCCATAATTTTTGACTAGAAATCTATATTCACAAAGTCTTCAGGCTGTGTACAAATGTTGCGAGCGACTAACAAAACGAACATAACGAACAGCAATTTAATCATGGAAACTTTTTTGAAACAAAACTATCCTTCCCCACTGGCCGAGTAATCAAACTCTTTCATGAGTCGATTTCGTTTCAACAGCTCTGGGTAACAAGGGCGTCGCCCCAGGCGTTGTAAACGGGTCCGTAGAAGTTGAATTGGTGTCTTCCTCATCGTCATAACTACTATCGTGTTCACCGTTAGAAATCATAAGTAAATTATGCTTCAGATCATTTTTATCCAACGTCTCAAGTTTGAATTTTGTTGATATCAAAGCTTGCTTGTACATCGAACTTGTTACTTTGAGAAGAAGACAGTCTTCTGTGACAGCTACGGTATAGTCTGGTACGTAAGCACGGCCTTTCCCCCCGAGTGCATCTTGACCATAATACGAAAATGCGCCTGCGAAAAAATTAAAGAACAACAGATAATTGTTGCTAGTGAGATGCTAGGGAGTCGAATTATCAACATAAAAATTAGAACCCAAAAGACCGTTCTAAAGAAAGCCATGAACGGTTCGATTTTATTACTAAACAAAGCAAGTGACTTTGCGTCATCAGCTGTGTCTTTAAGAACGATCTGTTTGGCTCTTCTCTTGGCATTGAACACCATCTCCAACTTAACACTGACTGCAATGTGCTAATTCACAGTACAAGGACGTGTTTTGGGGTGGAAAAGCAACATAAAGCATGCGAAAGCCAGAAAGAAAAGATTTACAACTAGGAAAACAGTCAAGTACAAAATTTCAAGACATTACACAACATCCATAACTGTCGTGTCTAACACAAAGATAGTTTTGTATTGTCCGAAGAAGAATCGCCTTATGCATTGTAAAAAATCCAACATCAGAAAACTTAGATTCTGGAATGGAAAATCTATAGTACTTCAAAAGCGATCATATAGCATGATCATTGAGGTACGTAGATACTGATGCAGCTCCCTCACATTTAGTGAGTGCAACGCAGAAATTGCACTTCCACTAATCAATGGCAAATTCATTTCCCCATCAATGCCAAGATTTTCGCTAAATTATTTCAAATCAAGAAATCAGTAGAGCGAAAATACAAACTTCATATAATTAGAATTGATTTTGAAGCCCTACACCGTGAGAGTGAGTGAGATTTTAGAGTACAGGGATAAGTCATGGTATCCCAAATCAACGTGATAATGTGGACAGTTGACCTGATGAGATCAGAAATCCGCGATCTGGGATCCGAAATCCACGATCTGGGATCCGGAATCCACGATCTGGAATCCGGAATCGACAATCGACATCCATTTTACAATCTTTTACATTGAACGCAAACTAAACTTCATATTTCATTTTGTTGCTTCCCCTATCAATTTCTCACCTTGACTGAAAGTGAATTTTTCCATACCAACATTGACTTCGACATTGCCATGAATAATCATTATGAAATAATCGACAACTTTGCCTTTCTCGTAGAGAATCAAAGATTCTTTCTCAGCGTCCTTGGTTTTGATTTCCATGACGACATCTTCGCGTTTGAGCAACTGCTTTAAAATATTTGGCGTGATTCTGTCTTCACTGAATGCATCAACGGCTTCAAATGAGAAAAATCAAGAAATTTAACCTTCTAGTTTAACATCTCGAAGAACGTCAACATGTTGAAATCAAACCGTCAAGCAGTAGGGCAATTTTAATTGCAGAATGCATTGTGGTAATGTCAAGGGTCGTGGAGGCCTGGCTCTAGTTCAAATTAGTCACTGAAGGGATAGTTTTCTTGAAGTGAAATACTATACTTTCCCATGAAGGTTTCTAGTGATTTTTTATATTGAAAGTATAAATTTGCACACAGTTATAGGGTGGGACCACGAGAGCCCCTCCCCCCCTCCCCGCAAATCCCTATGGTCAACCTAGAGTGGCATCCGAGCTGAAATTTAGTCAATGATAAATTGTCATAAGCGTTGCTTCACCTGTTGATAAATATTGAAATGATGCAAGTTGCAACTGCGGCGAGAGTGTCGTCTTTTCATCACTCACAAAGATGTTGAAGTGTCCAGTCAATGGTCGTTGAGTATTTGCAGCAAATGTTGTGTTGTCAACTAAAAACACAATAAACTTGTTTTGAGACAAATATCTCGTGGTATGTAGCATGTTGTAAATAGTGCATAGAATTTTAATCAGTTCTTATTGAATGTAGCAATGCCGAAGTAGTTAGGAAAACAACAGACAGCACAAAGCAACAAGTAACCAAGGGCAACCACTTTCCCCCTTCTCTAATTGGTGGAAGGACTGCCTCATTAGAAGATGAAATTTGAGAAGATATTACAAGGAGGGAGACAGTTAGTTGACTATGTAGATGATCTCCCCAGAAACATGGGAAATCACTATTGTCCAAAGTAAGCATGTCCCCCAAAATATTATACCCCCCAAAAAAAATCTTCAGGACTGGCTACCTTTGTCACTGAGCAATTTTGGTTCTAGTTACATAAAGTTTAAAACACTCACCATACTTGTCTGTCTCGTCAACAATTTCTGACTGAATCATCTCTTCTATAACGTCTTCCAATGTAACCAAACCGATTGCCTCATAAAAAGGATCGCCTGGGCCCTCACTGTTAACTTTTTGAACAATTGCAATGTGGGAGTGCTTTTCTTTAAAGCTATCTAAAAGCTCACCCAGGTTTGTGTCATTCCAAACAAAATTCACCGGGCGGCTGTAAAACTTTATCACCGTCTTCAATGGTATGCAATCATCTGGATCAACAAATGCAAGATCTTTCACAAACAACAAGCCAACAATATTGTGCCTTTCTTTGCAGTAAACTGGAATGCGGCTGTGGCCTGACTCCATAATTGCTGTCACGGTAGTAAAATCCAAGTTGCAATCCATTTCCAACATGAAACACGAGTCAATTTTAGTCATTATTTCTTCAACAACTTTTGCCTTGTAGTTCAAGACACCCGAAATTATGTTCATTTCATCACCAGCTAAATCATTATGTTCAGCCGTCACTTTGATCATCTCGAGCAGTTGCTTCCTATTGTATATTGTACCCAGTTCCTCTCCGAGGATAAAGTCTAAAATCTTGCTAATGGGGTATGAGGCGGGAAAGGTTAATAGCATGAATAGTTTAGTCAGGAGCAACGTTCTTGATCCAATGGCAAGACCGTGCCTTGAACAAATGCTTTGTGGTACAATCTCGCCAAACAAAACAATACCGACAGTCGATGCAACTACAGCAATTACACCACTTCCAACTAAAGTATCAAGCAAAATAGTCAACGAGCTGTTTACCATGACATTTCCTAAAAGGAGTGTGCATAAGAGGTAATTGCCATGCTGTCGCACAGGTAATATTTTCTTTGCATAGTGTTGCTCCCTAGGACTTCCACAGTTCAAAACAACCTTCAGTTCTGTAGGATCTAGGGCCATAAGTCCTAAATTTAAACCGGAAAACAGGCCTGACATCACCAAAAGCAAAATGAGTAAACAAACATTTAACCATATTGGTAGTTTAGTGTGTGATACAACGTCAATTGTGACAGTTTCACCAGAACCTCCATGGTACCATACACCCGATACATCATCACGGAAACAAATATAATGCTTTCCAGTGGCGCTTAAAGAAACATCTATCTTGTAAATTTGCGATCCGACTTGGGACAAAACATGAGAGTCCTGCCTTGCAAACGACTCATCACAACGGTCTCCATTCTTTGCCCGAGTTGTGGTAAAAAATATGGAGTTGTTTCGTGAAAAATTTAATCCGACAAGATACAGTATTGCATTGGTCTTTACAAGTATCGTCACACAACCGCTAGATATTTTTGTATTCGAGTCAGTTGTGCGTGGATAAACAGCGATAAGGTCCGGTCTTGTTTGAAGGCAACTGGCGATACGAACCCCATCTGTTATTAACAAAAGATACACTGTAAACAATCCGAAAGAAAACTGATGTGTATTGTTAATTTCGGCCATCTAATTTGACAATGAATTTTAATTTTTAATCCATCAGTTTTCACGTGATTTATTGGCGGGGGGGGGGGGACATAACCCCGGTCAGTCGTCTCTTTGGCCCACCCACTTGACAATATTCATTCCTTCCCAGTGCATAGTCCCAATACATGGTCCTTCACTGAAGATAATAGATTCCAGCAGATTTATCGACAATCCTAGATGGCTTCATCTACAACTCTGGAGTTATCTATATGCCAGTTACACACAAAAAGATTGGACAATGCAATGAGGATGACACGCAAAATTGCAAGCATATTTGAAGGTTTGCGACTAGTTGCCTTTATTAATGCTCAACTAATAATATTTTGTGACTTTTTTTTATCAAAATTCTTAGTATCAGGGCAAATGTAAAAAAAAACAAAAGGAATGTTAATCATTAATTATTATTTGTTCCCAGTCTTTTCCGTGTAGATAACCATTCTTGCGTAATTTGATATGGCTGGCTGTGGCTATGACTCATGAGCAATATGTGACAGAAATTGGGTATTTTTCGTGCCTTTTTACAAACTAAAGCACCTTTTTTTACTCTATGGAGTCAGGATGTCTTCGACGTGTCCTTATATACTGGCAAAGACGTCCCAACTGCTCACAGCTGCGAGAATAACAAGTCAAAACGAGAACTTTAAAGAGGGTCTGACATCATACAGGATAGTTCAGAAAATCTCGCGGCTTAGTTCCAACTTAAAAACGTTAAGAATCGAGACGAGCACTTACTCTAAACTTTCAAACTTGAGCTTCGATGATTTTTCCATGATAACAACTGACAATGACATTCGCCAACCTGCGCATTCAGGAACGAAACATGGTGGACGTTTGACACACTCCTTCACAGATATTTACGAGAATAACGAGTGCGAAGATAAGGCTGAGCTGTTTTCATTTGGGAGAACGTTGACGTGAACACTTGCGAGGAAACTGACAGATATTTTGAGCAGTACGCTATCTCAGATGCCGAATTAAACAGGTACAGCCCTGAGAACTTGCATTCACCGGCTTAAGAGAAAGGTTTTGTTGTCATTACCTTGTCGTTATAAGTAACGCAGTAATTAAGATCCAACATGCGATCTTTAGTTTTCACGGTTGTAGTTCCAACATCAACTATTTACGTATTAAAAACTCAAATAAAACCTACCTGAACATAACTACTCCCAACCAGAGATGATTGTTGTATTTCAAAGCTTTGCATTGATAGAAATGAACAATTTTATTGATATTGATAAAGAAAATATGTCTATCATATTCGAAAAAATTTTGAGACTGTGTCCAGGATTCGAACCTTCTCGTATCACCTTGGTCTGCCACACTAACCACTGCACTACACTTATTTTCACTACAAAATCCAAAATTGAAATTATATAAAATAATCAACTATAATTGTGAAAACTAAAGATCCAATGTAGGATCCCAAAATACTGCATGAAAGTAAACCTATTACAGAGCGATTTAAGAATACCCTGCAGCATACTTGTACAACCTACATGCCTGACCATAACCCTAATGCTATCCCTAATTCTAATTTAGCCTGATTGTTGTTTACAGTGACAGGGTGTTGCATAAGTCTGCCCCAATTAGTGTGTATTGTCAATGTTCAGAAGATGGAAGTACAATTTATTTTGTAAGTGATCAACTCAGGGTGTTACATATTCCCCCTCCCCTACAAACCTTTTCTTGTGCAGAACCTTGCATTTGATGAGAAACAGATGATTCTGTTGGCGTCTTTTTTATTATATAATATTCATACATTCATACTTATGGTTAAAATTAAACAGAGGTTGATTGACACATTCATAAGATAAGTTGCAGCTCATGCTATCTGAATTTGACAAAATAAGGTAGAGACTGGTAGAATAACACCAACTTCTTTCTTCTCTTCCATCGTCATTTTTGATCAAGAACAAAATTACATAGGAAACATTAATATCCATTTTACGTATTCAAACCATTTTGAAACCACTGATTGTGTATAAATATGTTCGAATTTTTATCCTTTGTATGCATCTAAAATATTCACCACACGCCAATTGGCCTTGGAGGTTCAACTGTACAACCAGCCTAGTTTCATATTTGTTTTAGTTGTTTGAAAGACATAAAACACATGCGAAAGAACCAGTGGCTTTTGCAACAAAACGAACATAAGACAGAGATAGAATGGGAGAGGTTTCTGCAGCAAAAAGATTTGGTTGTATGGAGAAGATATCTGGATGTCAAGGGTTTATATGAGTATAAAGGTATATGGTCAACTGTCTTTGTAGCATTATTTATTCATTAAGTTTGACGTAACTGTTTGCTAAAATTATTTTTAGTGTTTGGAACATTCAAAGATATTTCATCTGAAGCTTTCTTCAATACTCAAGTAACAATTTCTTCTTAAACAATAACATTTCTGTGCGATCAGTAATCAGATATAGTTAGATCTACAAATGTACCTCAAGATGGTAAATCTTTGCATTCTTTTCCTTCAGCTCGATCTACAATACAGGAAATCTTGGGATAAATACGTGATCTCATTGGACATCATTGACAGGTCAAAATGTGGCAGCGAGGTTGTTCATTGGGCCACAAAGTTTCCTGTAAGTTGCTTCCATGTACAAGGCATTGAACTTCCACAATGACCATTAAACTTCCACAACGACCATTGAACTTTCACAATGACCATTAAAGTTTCCACGTCTGTCAGCCATATAAGAGAACTCCAATGTTTCATCATGTAACTTTTACATTCTACTTTAGTACCCTCTGAAGAGTCGCGATTACGTAATCGTCCGCAGAGCGAAGGTATCATTTCAACCTACCACCAAGATCTTTCTTTTTCATGTTTTGTTTCTTTGGTGTAAAAAGTTGAAAGTTAAACCAAAAACAAAGTGCAGTATGACAAGTACCCATACATATTCATCTGTTGCAGGTTGATGTAAAATCAAATACAATGGTTATAATGTCAAGGTGAGACAGTCATTTGCCACCCTCCTGTTTTATTCGATGTCATTACCCGGGGGGGTGAGCTATTGTGGAGGACACCATAGAACAGACCATTGTAATCGGTGTTTATTGTTCGTATTACAGAACGTTGAGTCACGATGATTGCCCGGAAAGTGACGATTACATTCGCGTCAAAGACTATGCTTCCCAGATGCTTGTACGACCACATACAACATTTCAAGAGGTAGGCATTGATAACGTCTTCCAATTTAATTTGCGTTGCACAATTTTGTTTCTGAGGTTTCACTTCTTGATGAAATTCAAGCGGTTAACCTCGATTTATATGAAAGGTGATTCTATGTCGGATATGGTCAAAAAAATTTTTCTTTTTCAGAATGGTTTCGACTTCGTTTTTACTTATCACGATGATTCTCGTGTGAATGTTCCGAAATTCTGCGTAAACATGATTACTGGATCAGGTGAGAATCTCGGATACGTCAAATGCAAGCGAATCTGCTTCTTTGTCATACACTGCTGATCAGCTAATGTTTTTTTATTCTAATTACAGCCGTTCCAGATTTCTTGAAGACTCTTCACGATGCAGCTGCTAATATTGCGATGAAAGACAATATAGATGACAGTATAACGTACTAAAAGTGATGTGTATTTTCCATTCTAAATTTAACGTGAACTCATAAAATATACGTCGCGTTTTAATAGCAGTACTTTCATATTGACGATTGCGTAATTTCAGTACTGCTTGTGAGCACTTCATGTAACGAAGGCAAAATTTAAATTATCTATATGAATGTCAACTTATTTCGTCCTTAACTTTAGAAAATATCTCTCTAACTTAAAGTAATCTTTGTGAGAACATTAGAATTTGTCACATGACATTGTTTAACCAATCATCCTTCTTACTCGCTAATGTCATGCAATTCTTCATCGCAGCTCTTGATTTTGCATCGTTTGCCTTGTAACCTAAAGTTCCCGCGTTATCTCAGCAGAAGATGAAACGTGTCTTTTCTTAAAGGCCCAGTAAAACACAAATTTTACTATTTAAGTAATATTTTCATTCAAAAGAACTCTTACAATGACAGTGGAGATTTTCTAAAACAGTTTATTCATATCTCTTTTTGTTCTCAAGATATGGACGTTTTATATATTTATTGAGCTAAACGAAAATTGTTCACCTTTTTTTCATGTTTAGTTACACATGCATCAGCACATACAACAATCGAAAGTTTCCTCATCTTAAACGAAAGACGCCGATAGTTATTTTTACATATCTTCAGCAACATCATGAACAGCTCCAACTACAATATATCACATGAGCCAACGAGTTTTTAAACCGTATACGTGGTTCATTGATATTTCTTTTGAACATATCTTCAGGAGATTGTTTTTGTATTGGAACATCGTCCTTGCTAGAGCTTTTATTGTTAACAACATGCTTAAAATCATTCGTGTTTTCATTGGTCCACGAGTCCTCATCCATAACTCTCGAGCATGCGCGAGGTACTTCAACTACGATCAATTTCATCAAGCTATCTTCAACCTGGTGTCGTTGTTTCTCCTTTGTCAAGCTTGATTTTCTTTCAATGGTGGAAGTTACAATTTACAAATATCCAAGTTTACGGTCATGGCAACGACCAAATGTATGCACTAGTACCAATTATAGAGTAATTAGCTCGCTCAAATATCTAATCTTCAGACAAATCATCTGCGCATGCGCAGTAAGCTCGAGCATGCGCAGTCAACTGGACCAGCTGTCCAAGTTCATGGTCATTGCAACGACCAACTGCATCTATTGGCACCAATTTTAAAGTATATAGCATGTTTAATACCAATTTAATAAAAAAAACCATCTGCGCATGCGCTCGAGCATGCGCAGTCCACTCGACTAATTGTTCATAGTCATGGCAACGACTAACTATAAGTACTTGCACTACATTTGTGGCAATCAGCTCACTTCGTCGCAAAATATCAAAGAAATAATCTGAGCATGCGCACTAGTGACTTTGATAATACCACAACTTTCGTAAGCCTTTGAATTTTTGTATATATATATAAAGCTAAAACTTCATGTAGTAGATGTCAACTAGCAGTGGAAGCTGGGTGCGATATGTATGCAGTGGCTTAGGGGCCCACACTTTGGTGGCGACCGCACTCTCCCTGCGTACCCCGAGCAAAGCCTATCGCAGGTGATCTCGGGGTCTGATGGGCGGAAGCTTGCTATTGCATCTCCCAAGTAGGATAGCGTGGAGGGGCCGAAATCTCCTACCGAAACGTTAACATGCGGCGTTCTAGTGCCTCGGCTTAAGAAGGTATCGGGAAGCATGGACCGAAAACGGGGTTTTTTGCTTTCGAATTTTATCTTTTTAAAATAAAATAAACCAAATAATGCTTCAAATTAAATTCTTCTGAAACTGTCCCATTTTATGACACTTACAATTCAAGATAACTTAAAACATGTTTTATACAATTTTTATTGCTTTATATCTTTCTGATTTAGTTCTCTCATTTACTGTTTCTCATGTATCACAAGCAACCCATCCGTGGACTTCATGGAAAACAAGATTATCTGGTTCCCTTAACTAACATGCGACGCTCTTGTGCTAAACTATCTCGGGTATCGGGAGGCATGGACCGAACACGGGGTTTTTTGTTTTCAAAATTTGTCTTTTTTCTTTACAAGAATTCTTCTCATAAAAGAAACTAGAACATCCGAGGATACTGCTAAGGTTCAAACAACTTCTGCCCTTTTGACTTATAATTCAACCAACTTTAAGCAAGTTTATACGTTTTTTACTAGTTACGTTTTACAATGTAACTTTCTCATAACTCTCTCGTGATGAAAGAGAGCCTCGATCCTTACACAATATAACTTTCTCATCATGAACGTCAAAGCATCCATGGGCTTTATGGAAAAAAGGGATTATCTAAACATTTATAATAGTTTCTACAAAAGGTAACATTATTAAGCCAAGCAATTTGTATCTTCTAAATTGAACCTCCCTTTCAACCTTTGATTAATTTTGGATTGTAAATTTCTTTTCACCTTAAAATATTTTAATGATTCAATCTAGAAAGTAATTTCTCTTCTCGAGTAATTTTGCGATTAAACAGCACACTTTTCGGATTCAAAGAAATTCTTTTGATCGCATAAAGACAGCCGTCCAATTTATTACGTACCAAAGCCTATATAAAGCATTTCCAAATTACGTACAAAATTTTCTTCACATAGCCATATTACCGTCTGTTTAAACGACGTTTGCAATCAAGTTACCTTAACAACTGAAGCAAACCCTCCTTTTTCCAAGCATTTGCAACACCTAGCTCAAATTTATTCCGAAGTATATAAGAGCTCCCCCCGCCCCAATTAGTGAAGCAATACAGCCCTGAATGAAAAGAAGTATGAATAAACTGTTTTAGAAAGTTTACTGTCATTTTAAGAGTTTCTTCGATGAGAAAATTATTTAATTAGCAAAATCGTTTTACTAGCCCATATAAATACGGAAGCATTGCAACTTACAATGTATAAATGGCAGCCTCCTTTTCCCATTGTTTGGCCACCCACGAGGGGAAACTTTATGATGTGGAACAGATAATTAAGTTCGAGTAGATACTAGGCAAACTTTGAAGTTTGCTTTTTCCATCTGCTCTGATATAGGACAATATTTCTTCATACTAACGACAGGCCACAGCCATCATAGAATAACTTGATTTTATAACAGATGTAATTGTATTATCCACTCAATTTAATACCTTGTCGGTACAATATATGAATTTTAGTAAACATAATAGCATTTGTTTGGTTTCAAAGGAGTGTTTCATGCATTTAAAAAACTTTGTTTCCATGGTGAAACAAAAACAGATGTCTTTAGATTGCCTAAATAATTAAGCGTTATTGCACCTCTTTAGCTTTCCTTCCTTTACCCGTAATGTGCTTAGGTGAAAGCAATTTTCATAATCGGATATTGCTTCCATTTAATTGAAGGAAATTCTATTGAAAATTTTCAGACGTCTGGCAAAATGTCGTTGCACGGAAAGAAACTAAATTACATAAATTGGTCGAGTTTGATTTGCATCAATTGTCCTTTAAACGGAGCTGTTTCAAATATTCAAAATAAACAAGTTGACTAAGCTATCGTGGTGAAAAAGTTTTTATCATTAACTATTTGACGTAGCTTATCTTTTACTATAGTGTGTATTTCATGTTTTATCGTGATAAACATAACGCAATTGGTAGTTCAGTACAAAAAGTCTTTGTCCTTGATACCATTATTATGCTACCATGCCGAAACACTCGAGACTGTTACCGAGAATATTTGAATCACAATGATTTTCCTGCTGTGCCCCGCGACTTAAAGCACGTGGCTGACCGTTACGAGTCGTTTTAGTACGTGCGCATTCGAAAGACTTGTCTTAAAGTTCTTTTACCTTCGCGAAGTAAAGAAGGACGCGAGCAATACGACGACAAAACGATTCAAGTTGAGCTTCAAACATTCTCATATCGTTCACTTTTTCTTTCTTTTTCTTGATAAAGTTACAAATCGACTATACAAAGAGAAGGAGAACAGAGTGAATAAAACGCAACTTTATTGAGGTAAGCCAATTCTTAAATGGAACCACAATGTCAAAGTATTTTGCCATTATAGTCATTTACAATACAATACAAGTCATGCCTACGCTTTGGATTTCAGTATTTACCCGTGTTAATTGATCAAAAGTTATTAAAACTTTTACCATAGCAATTGGCCGAGGACAAGAGAAAGCAAGATAAAACTAACATCTTGGCTCTGGTGAAAGGTTAGTAAGGTATGTGTTCGCTGATAGATTCTAGACTTTTACATAAAAGTAGAGTTTCTTCTTCGTTAAAGAATTCAACCTTAAATGACGCTAATATTCATCCAGATTAACTGCAAGTGTAGTTCTTTCTTTGAACTGCAATTAAAATTCTTTTGTGAGAACTAAGCTTGTTACCAAAGAAATCTTACGACATGATGGCGGTTCGCAGCGCGATTTAAGCCCATTGAGACAGATTGTTGCGAGAACTTTTTCAAGCAACGATTTTTGTCTAGGTAGCTTATTAATCAGGAATTGCGGCATTTTCACAACCATTTACCGATGCAAGAAAACGCGGAAGAGCATAATTTTATCATGATTATAGCTTTTTATTACATTAGAAATATTAAGTGGGTTATGCTTCACCGAAATGAATACTTCGCTTTTTGCTTTGCTCGCGTAATGATCACTCAACAAAATTTTTCGAATGCTACAGCATTTACGTTTATCCAAACATAGTTCTTGAGTTGTGTTGACGTTAGAGTCATTAAAGTCTTCACTACGAGATGATCCGTTATGACAGGATGTAAAACATGCATGGTTAAATTTAGACCTTTCATAAAAAGTTGGCGCAGAAATACGTAGCAAAAGTGATCTTGTCGTAAAACAATCTGTCTGTTTACGCACGGCTCCCCGTTAGGTGTTTAGGTGCATATTTTGAGGGATTTCAAATTGAACGTAAAAGTTTAAAGGATGCTGCAATGATCATTAAAGTCTTATGAGATCGTATTTATCCACATACCTTAGGTGATTAAGAGCTGTAAGCACCATATTCTGTCTTATTGTAAAGAAAATGGAAGTTATCACTGATACAATCTCGGTAACGGCACTCCGTCGACAACTCAGAGTGGTACAATACGATTCACCTGCTTTCAGAGAACAGCCTCGCTTCGAATCGAAGAAAAGACGAGAAATGTGCGACCAATACAATGGCGAATCTCAGCTGAGCAATTTGGCATCGGACACTGGAGGCCAAACTTCTGCAAGATTTCGATTGAATGAGATCGTGAACGCTTGCTATGCTCAGCTATGGCGTGCTGAATGCAGTCGAAGAAATTTCTGTAACGATGAGCCTGGAATCGAGCATGATGATGTAATGAAGAATGCTTTCAACGTTTGCTTGGGTAAGGATTTGGACAAGGTGCTAAAACTTAGATTAAAAAGTCGAGCCAAATTCCGAAATCGTCCGAGCGACGACGACGCGCAAAAATGGTTAGAAACGCCGGAGAAATTCATCGAGACACTCACAACAATAAGACACAACACTAAAGACAGGGAAAATGCGGGATTAATATCAAAAGAAAGTCACGAAGTCATAGCGCTTAAAAACGAACGAAGCACAACGGGTAGTCAACACAGCGTACGTTTTTCTGAGCATGCGTTGCTTTGCTCAGCTTTGCAGGAAGGTGATGCAGTTGAAGTAGAAAATATCATAAAGCAACACGGAATTGAGCTGAACGCTCTTTCTGAAGCCACAGGATACAGCTATCTTCACAAGACTATTCTCAACAATCAAATGGAATGCGCCAAAGTTCTGGTGCGCAACAGGATGGATGTAGACGCCAAAGACTGCGAAGGACTCGCACCGTTAGACCTGGCTTTTCGCATGATGAATTTCTCGATGGTTACCCTCCTTGTCGATTCTGGAGCGAATATTTCCGAATACACAGAAAGAAGGATCGAGAACATGAAACGAATTGAGGAACTGTCTTCTTCCGTCATGAAGGTTTTTGAAATGGACGTTTAAAACACGAATTTGCGATATTTGCTTTGAAACGGTTGAATGCAACTTGTCACAGCTGCCTTTGATGATAGAAAGCATCCTGATGCATTCTCATAACTCGTAGAAATTACACCTAGAGTTTGACTTTATTAGGTAAAGTGAGAAAATTACAATGGAATTTTTGCAATGGAACTGTGATCATAATACAGTTACCATTTTTATTTATCAGTTATATTATCGTATCATTGTCCCCAGGAACCTTAAGGGATACTATTTTATGTTTGAAACGTTGCTTTACGATTGATCTTTTTCATCCACGTGCTGGCCGTGATGAACTATCACCAACGAAGGCCAAGATTGTACATAACACAGAATCTTAAACACTGATCTTAACCTGCTAAATACGTTGAAACTGCGCATGTACACCACACACGAAGGTGTCGTTACTACAAACCAGAACTACGTTCTGTTACGAAGAACTACAGCTACCTACAGCATATTTTAGCAGATTTTTTAACCGTAATGATGTTCACATATGTCCAAATGATTCAAAAGTGTATATTTTGAACACATGTAGTTTTAATCGTTCATACTTCTACTTTTCATGTAATAAATTTAATACCTGTTTTTTGCTAAGTTTTTTTTGTGTTTAATTCGAGGATAAAGATCCGGATCTGATCAAAACAAGCTGTTGTAGCTTGTCCTTTAAAACATGCACTTTAAACATGTACATTTTATCGAATTTGTCCAAGTCTTAAGTCTTATACTTAGTTTTGATGAAAATACAATTTAGTTTATGAGCTGAAATAAATTTTCGTGAGCATTTCTAAATGCATGAAACTGATAAGAAAAAATTTTAAAAAATTTTACCGAGTGATCGTCATTCATGCCACAACAAAATCACTTAGCTTTATGCCACAATAGGGAACGTTGCTGGGACTTTTAATGATCCTTTGTACTTGAGATCAGTGTCGAAAGAAATGAAATTCTGAAAATCGTAAATGGAATTTTTGGAATACTGTCTTAAGCAAAACTGTTGAAAGGAAATGAGCAGAAACAGCATTTCATCTACGCAATCGAATTAAAGTGAACACATAACTATTGTTTTATCTAAGATATGTCCATAAAGCTTTGGTAATAATTTGCAATGTACATTAAGCTTCGATATGAAAAAAGTATCATTACCTCGCCAAGAACAATTTCAGGATTTTCCAAAGCAACCTTATCAACGACAGGCAATGGTAAGCCTTTTGCTCCTTTTTCTAAAACGTGACATGTTAAAATATGCTGACTGAACTATGTAGAGTGTACGACCAAAGATCCATTTCAAAAAAAGCAAAAAAAAACAAAGAAATTATTTTTGTATGGGAGATCGCTTACCGCAATATGAACACACGTACCGTTTAATATTTTGATAATGGTTTTCTCGGCGAGAAGATGAAGAAGAATATTCAAGATTCCAACTTGAGGCTAAAAATTACAAAGCAAACAGTATATATATATATATCAACAACGTATTCACCTCTGGATAATCGCCAGGCGAACGAGTTAACATTTAGATTTAATGAAACAGAGACTTTGTCGTGGTGACAAACTTAAAGATAGATTTCAAAATAATATGAATGAAATTAATAGTTCTTAAAGAACTGTTTTAAATACTAACAAAGGAACCGTTATTTACAGTTAGAAAGAGACACTATGCATTTCGGCAATGTCATTCAGTCTGCCGAAATGCATAGTGTCTCTTTCTAACTGTAAATAACGGTTCCTTTGAATTGTTTGGTTAGTATTTTGGTTAAAACAGTTCTTTTAAGAACTATTACATTGCTATTATCACCATTCACCATGGTATTTGCTATTTTCAAATCTATATTTAGATTTAACAGTTTATAAGTAATCGTCGCGATTGTTTATGGCTCTAATATACAAAGCACTCTTTGTTATTGTGTGTTTATAGTATTGTTGCGAGCTCGATCATTGGGAGGGAGGGTATTTATATAAGTATGTTGTACCGTAATGAATAATGACCGAGTATGGACGTGTCAAAGGCACTGTTTTGTTTAGTGTAAACTCACAACATGGCCCATCCGTGTTGCCGTCGTTATATCACATGAGATATTGTTATATAACCTATATGTACAAATTCGTCAGTAATGTTTATCATAAATTTTTATTCTTTCTTTATGAAAAAAAACCTCCTATATTAAATTCCTGTGTATGAAGCATCTTGTTACCTTAATGTCGCCAACGGCTGATTTGAAAACTGCAAACTTGACACTGCAAAATAATTATGACCAAATTAGTCATTGACAGATTTGTACTAGTTTATATATTCAGACAGAAATTTCCCTTCGATAAAATGTATTGTTCTTCAACAATTATTTCACAAACAACCAAAATAAAGTGATGAGGTAAATCCTGATGAAAAAAATTGCTCTTCAAACACGCATCTAAACTTTGCAGTGCACATGCGTGTAACGGTAAGCCCAACTTCAGATACAATTATCAAAGGGCTTTTTTATAAAATAAACTTCGACAGCGAACACGTCTGTTTGAGAGACACATTGCACTCACTCAAAATTCTTTACTGATCCTTGTAACAAAGTTCCATTGACTTGTGCAACGCCATTGCCGGTGATGTTCTGCAGATAACAAACATGATATTTATGTATAGTTTGACTAATTAAGGCGTCACGTTTGTACAAGTAGAACGTCCAGGTTTATACAATCCTAAGGAGGACCAGCAGTGTTGGTGTTGGTGTTGACTGACGTTTGAACTATACTTTTACGGCAGTCATCTTCGATTTTTACAGTCATTTTCATGTCTACCGATCAGGATGTTAAACGTCTCTAAACATCAACACGAACAGTCCTTCTCTGAACTGCACTAACATGCATGAACGATCAACATCGACAAACATGTTTGATCTTCGTTACCTCAGACCATCCGAAATGATTTATGAACTTACCGAAGAAAATATTCAAGGCAATAGTCAGAGAACCTGGGACTATGATAAATAGGGGCTATGAATTGGTGTTGATTAATTATGAGGGTCATAAAGGGTTGCAACCTCTTTCTTTGCATTTCTGAATAGAATATTCCAACAACTACAATAATTATTATTATAAACATTCGGATCATCGTATGGAACTGAAGCAACAAAATTTCCATTCGGCAAAGGAAAAACTAGTTAATTTAGCACGATGTAAGACGGATTTAATGAAATTACAGAACATTAAAACTAAGCTTCCTCTCCCTACTTGCGTACACATGGTCGTCTCAATTACATACCGTGGCCAATGTGAACAAAAAGACAAAATTGGACTCCTTTGTGAGAACGAGGACCTCAACATTACCAGAAATGGCAACATATAAACCAGTTGATTTGATGGCAAGACGTGGTGGCTGAGTGCAGTAAAGGTGAAGGTATAGCGGACGATCGGGATACTTGTCATACACCTGAATTGAATGAATTCTTTTGGAAATAATGAACGTGGTGAAAATTTATAAAATACATGGAAACACGGTATGTACTGGATGATGGAAATGCAGTTTATGAATTAGTAAGTTTAATAAATAAAATGAGAAAGAAAAAGCGATATAACTTAATATGTTTCACTTCTTTTCAATTACAGAGCCACGCAGCTAAATTTTTAAGATAAAACAAATTCGAATTAGAAATTCAGTAGTAAAATTGGACATGATAAAGGAATAGCAGTCATTGACCTTAATAATCTAAAATGTAAAAACTATTGTCATGACAATCTGACCCAAAGCCAACACTAAAATAAAAACAAAAACAGAGGACGCTTACTTACTTGTGATAACCCAATTAACTTAAACAAATCTGTATTGAGCTGGTACTTGAATAATGGGGGAACCTAAAAGTTAAAATGAGATAAAAAGAAATGAAATTGCACTCATTTGCTGTACAATTGCCATTACACAACGTTGTTAAACAATGAAATCGTGATTTCAACTTACTTGTTGCATGCAATAAAAAACGTTATTTCCAAGCCAATAATAATCAAAAATGTTCATGCATGCATAAGTAATATAACTTGTATTTAAAAATTTAGCACATGTAGTATTTAAAAATATTCATGCATGCATAAGTATATCGAAAAATATTTATTCATTCATAAGTATAAATTACCTCGGATGGAGTAACATTTATCTTGAAGAAATTTGCCTGGAAATACACTTGTCCAGCGGTGTTTGCAACGTACTTAGTCATATAAATACAAATCATTTTACTGCAAGTTTGATTGGTCGTTATCTCTGTAGGAGTAAGGCCAGATTCTGTTGGATGAGAAGCCGACATGACCTCACCCTACAATGAAGAAAACGTAGAAGATTTAGGCTTTCCGGGTTAGAATGCCCCACCAAAAACATAGCACTCTACTACAATTGAGATTTTCACAAGTAAATTGATTTATATTTGTAAATCTATATTTAAATATCAGTAGTGTATGCAAGGAAACAAGGCAGCCTGCAAATTTAGTCCTTTTCTATCAATAACTATGCTCCGTGAAGTGACAACTTTTTTCAATATCTTCCATAACATCACAACGTTTTCATATTTTATCACTGATTAAATATGTTAATGGCGACTCATTTCATGAAGAGAAATTATTGGGGCCTGGGCAATAATTAAATTTCGGGGCTCTGTCTACATTTTTATGTTGCCTCCTTTTTCATTCGCCACCCTCCTTCGAAGCTTGGTGCCCTTTGGAAAATTAGCCCCCCCCCACACACACACACAACTGAACGGTTATTCATGTTTTCATGGACGAACTGTCACTTCCAAGCAACTCAGCGGTAGTAGTAAAACTGAAAGAGGATTAAAAATAATAAAATTGAAGAACGGGTCTAGTGTAAACAAAGAAAAAAATTTCATCACAGACCACCACAAGATACGTTATACAACATCGAATATTAAATAAAGGTCATTGGTATATATAATGAATGGTATACTTCCGTTTATCAAAACTAAAAGAAACCACGCAAATGTCAGTGTGGCAACTGTTAAATAGGAGTAAAAACAAAAACCTTTAGGGAAATGTCCACTAAGCTTTCAGTGAAAATTGGTGCTTGAATGAGAGAATAATCAATCAAAGCGTACTTATCGATCTGTTTTCTCACAAAAATGATACAAGCAAAAAATTTATATATGATCTATTAGATTTTTCATTGCTGGGTCTATGAAATCATTCAAAATTTCACACGACGTGCTCACCTGGAAATGTCGCCAATGCCGATTTAGCGTCTTCGTTTATTGCCTTACTCGCTTTCTCGCAAAGCTATAAAGCAGTATCACATCGAGTTACAATAAACGCTCTCAGAGGTAAGAATTGTTCGAAGTTCCAACTCTTACCATAGGATTTAGCTGAGACTTGATCGAGTCACCAATTTTGTGTCGAAATAAATTGTACAGCCAACTATGTAAAATATATAACTGTAATTACTATATGAAGCTGTGATACCATAAAAGTCCAAGAGATGAACCATAGTCGGAATGGTCTTATCAATATGAACACACAGCACAAGTATGCTATGCAACAAACTAACCAGTTAGTTATGTAAATGATTGAGCAAGGCTTAATACATAATTAGACGTATTTGAAGCGATTAT